AAACAAATACACTCACTCGGTAAACTGATTTTTGAAACCCCTGTTGATTTGTTTTCATGGAGGAGATATATAGTAGCCTACTAAGTAGGACTAATGTTTGAAAAAAAAAACTGTAAAATCAAGCTAACAAACAATAAGTGAGTACCTACCTAGTTAACTTCTACACCAGTGGTGGTGGTAGAAACTTAATTACTGTACCGAAACAATTGATCATCAATCAGTAGTGTTAAAGTAAGACTGGCATTGTATATGTTTGCTATTTTCTCATTGGGGGTGAAGATGACTGGAGTTTAATCAGAATTAAAATTGACTACCGGTATTGAACTTGATTTATACTTGTTTACAGGTATTACTCTGTCTCTTAAATGAGAACAGTGTAAAAGGGATAGTCCCTGAACAGGATTGAGCCACAAATATCATACTACATTTTTTTAACTAAAAGAAACTGATTTTCAAAACAATAATATTCCTTATGATAATACAAGAACCTGTATAATAGAGGGACTATTTATTTTGTAAAAGATACAAGATAATTAAAACCATAATTTGAATTGTACCAGCATTTGCATAGTGTATTGCTAAAATACAAACTTCAACAACCATCAAATTACAATACAAACAGAACATAAGACTAGGATATACCTGACCTTGATAAGACAGAGAGCGAGGAACACAGCCACATAGTTGCCGAGTGTAACCATCCTGTAGCCGACACACAGGATCACTAAACAGCGAGCACTGAGCAATGCTTGACTGCCTCACTCACACTACACGTCTCACGTCTCAAGGTCAACCGGTTTTTTTATAAAATCTAATCACTCTTGTCCATTACGCAGTGAGGAAATCCCTGAAGTAATCGTGAACATTAAACCTACCTCTTCAAGCATGTAAAGTAGTCACAGTTGCCTTAAAAGCCCCATCGTTGTTTAGAGTTTGTGAAGCTTTTGCAGCATAGCTGTTAAACCATGGTTGTTTGTTCTTAAGTTTGTACAGTACTGCTCGTTTTCTTGGAGGTATTTTACTGAATATTAAGAGCTAGTTTTTCCTTAGAGTCATGAAGCAGATCAAATTGAATGTGACTTTTGCAAGCAAAGTGCATCATCACTAGCTATGAGCCAATTGATAGCATTGCAAGCCCATTGTAATCATTTCACAACTGCACTGAATCGATACCATCACTTTGTCATTAAACCTTTAGGCTAACTGTTTACAAATGATAATAATAGATTGGGCCTATTAATTTTTTTTTATATTTATAATATTATGTATACACACAGTTCTTGATTTTTAAAAAAATCATCTACTAGACTAGAACTTAAACTTAGCAGAATCGTTTTTTCACTTATTTTCTTCCACTTCTCTCATTCACTTCTTTCATGTTAAATGTAAACCATTGTGCTAATGGCAGACCATAAAAATTACACACATAAACAGCACCTTTTTCTTATTCCTAGTTATCTTCTCAATACACAAGGTAATAATTTAAAACTTAAAAAAGGTCCCCAGACACTGTTTCAATATGTTCCACCAAGGAATAAATAGTAGTAAAATGGTTCAAACACAAATCAAGCTACACCAACATTATATTAAATTTAAAAACAATGTTACAACTAAATATATATCTTTTTAACTATACCTTATTAATTGAGATATAGTTATAATACTCACAAATTTTGCAAAATAAAATCATTGGACCTATTATGGCATAACATTTAATTTTTGTTCCTCCGCAGATATGTAGCAATGGAGAGTGGAAATTCACTGATTTGATTTAAATACAAGAAGATCCGGGTATTGAGCAGAGTACAACATCCTTGTTGTTATACAAAATACAACTCAGGTGAAAAGTGAAATATCCCGAATGTAGTCTCTAAATACTACATGAATAGCTGATCATTGTTTTTTTTCAAATTAGTTACTTAGGTTTCCTGATCTTCTATTTAGTATTAAATGATATTACGAGATGTCCCTAATTAAGTGTTGTGATAAACAAGTTATATGCTCGACAAGTTGAGGGAAATTAAAAACTTGGGAAGTGGTCTTTGTCAGGGTCACCAGGTGACGTCCGTCCGTTCCGTGGCGTCTCTGATGGTACATTCGGTGATTCATGAAATGTGTTCAAATTCTCTCGCATGTAAATAAAACAACCAAAAATGCTATTAATTTGTATATGCTATATTTTTTACTTATGACTTTTTATAAACCGTAACACAAATTTACTTTCTGGGAAAACCCCCTTATTTTGATAATGGTACAAGTGAATCGGCACCACTCTTACACCGTCCTAGGTAGCCTGAATAAGTTTTCACAGCCTGAGTTAACAAAAATGGACTTTAATCAAGCTAAGTGGTACAGTTGAATTTTGTTTCCAAACTAAATGGAGGACAAAACAACCATTTTACGGCATTTTCAACAAACCAAAATTGCCTCTTTTGCATCTTGACCCCATTGCAAGGCACGGGTATAGTGGCTAGTTAGTTTGAAATCTTTGTTTTTGTTAACATCGAATCTTACAATATAAAATGAAATACTTAGTGATTTTACAACATTGCTACAGTATTTAATAATACTGTATTGGCTCATGTAGAAAAATGTTAGGAATAACATTTATCTATACTAACATACTTTCACAAAAATATTTTCAGCTATTACTTACTCTATTGCAATAGTAAAATAAGTAAAAACTGAAATTAAAAAATATACCATACAACCTAATAACTATTTATTGTTATTCCAATTCAACCAAGTATAGGCCAAGTGATTTTCATAGCTTGTGATATTTGTAAGTAATGTAATAATTTTATTATGTGGCCATATAAAGATAAGAGGGCGTGTCATTAAAACACCAAGAACTTTAGAGATTTTAAGTTTTATTTCTGTTACTGTATATTCAAAAAGAGCAAATTAAAATAAAATGTATATTACACCTTGAATATCTATGGTAATTTCAGGTCATCTATTTGGTAAGTAATTTTAAAGAAAGACACATTTTTGTTCGTCCTAGCTCTGTGTGACAAATGACAAGTGACATACAAAGACTGTCGATTGCCAGCTGTTATGTATAACTAACTGTATAACACACTGAATAGTCAAGTACTGTAAATGTATTTACTTTTAGTGTACATGTTTGAATATTAGGTTTGTAACTTATCATACTACTATTCCTTCAAGCTATGTAGATGTCATACTTAATAATAAAAGGATACAAAAGCTTGTGTAAATAAAGAAAGAAAATTCTAAAAGTTTATTTTTTCATAATATTTGAAGTACAGTATACATATTGCATGCAAACATAAATATGAAAAAATCTTCTAGGTAAAAATAGTAAGCATAAAAACTTCATTGGTTTACGTTTACAATAAATAGAAGGAAATAAAGCTATAGTCAGCAAGCATTAAACATAAGACAAGCTGGATTTAATACATTCCAATGGATGAATTAAATACTTTTTCGTCATACTGCAACAAAATCAGCTGTTTTAAATACATGCGTTGCACATCTAAAATAAAATAGCTCTTTTTCTCCTTAGGGAGTAAAAATCAGCTGGAGTCAATGACATCAGTAGAACATTTTGCTCACTTGTTAACTAGGATTGTAAGTAATTGGTTGTATCGATTATTTGATTGTTTTCAATTAAATTTAGTTCAATAATGCATTGTTTTTAGTGGATTCACATTTGTTTACATTAAATCTAAGATGGATGACACGGGAAAACGGTTTGCATTGAAAGCCCAAGAGATTCCAGAAAACTATTGATAGATCAATAGTTCAACATATTGATATCTATTGATAGTATAACGGACCTTAAATGCTACCGTAATTGACTAAAGGATTCAATGCATCACCAAAAAGCTGCTTGTTAACAATAGCAAAATTTAAAACAGTATGGAAGTTACTTTGGGAGCCTATCTTTACATAACAAGTGGAAAGTATTTATGTTTTGTGACTTAGTTTGTTTAAATATTGGTGCAATATGACAAAAAATATACTTCATCACTTGGGCAAAAAGTGTCTTTTCCTACAGTCACCCGACAAAGTTGGCTTCCTTGTACTATTTATAGTACAGAAAGCTGCTAATTGCTGCATATTTATACTTTGCCGTACGGTTTATACTTTGCCGTACGGTTTATACTTTGCCGCACATCAGGATTCCAACGAAACAACACAAAACAGCGTGGTTCCATTATGCACGTAATCCGTGTACGCTTGGAAATAGGTTGGCAACACTTAAAGATAATTATACTATGAGCAGCTGATTGACTATTATAACTACGATTTAACCTGTCATTTCGTGTTTATAGTTTCGGTATTTCTGAACTTTCTGGACTTTTCTTTTAAACGTTTTTAAAACCTTCCTACGATCTTAATAAACAAGAAAATACCTTTTAAGCATTTTTTTTAGGCGCGGAAACCACTTCAAATTACAAAAACATACGGAACTATATTCTCAATTCGCGGAGCACATTTCTTGCCGAGGAAAAATAGCGGAGTGATATGGACCGCGGGTACTACTTTCTCTAGAGCACCATTTGTGTTGCCAGCTGAACCTAAAAACGTGTTGCATAGTGTTTGAAAGACTAATTATTTATATGCTTTATAGTGACTGTAGGAAAAATATAATGTGTAACACGAGTGAAAAAAGGCCTTTGCTGCACTCGAGATCATTCCACACTCGCCTGCGGCTCGTGCGTAAACATTGCTCTCGTGTGCAGCAAAGTGCCACTTTCACCACTAGTTACACAAATAACTATTTCAACCCTCGCTCATTTTCCGACCGGAGCGAAAAAAGAGTCACTTTACATAATAAATATACTATTCCAGCTTACTTAAATAAATATTGCAAAGTATATATTGCAATATATTAAGTATCACAGTAAGATTGAAACATTGTGCTATGTAAAGGGGTGTTTTGTATTAACTGCTTCAACTCAGGGCAATTTTACAATCAACTCCCTTAAAAAACACAGGATATTAATTGTTACGTTGAATACAACAATATGTTTATAGCACGATTGTTTGTATTTGATTACAATATTAGAAGGCAAGTGTTTTTAATTTTGTAATAATAACATCAAGATTATAACTCTTTTAGTAAAACCATAGATAAATCATAGTCCCTTAGTAGATTTCCCATCCTTATGGAACAGCTGAAGCCAATGTTATTGTTAGTCTGTCTGGTTTTCTGTTGATGTCATGTTTTGTTTACAATTTGTTTGTATTATTTTAGGGTTAGTTTCTCATTATTTGTGTCTCACTGTTAGGTTATATAGCTTGTGGGGGAGTTATTGTTTATGATTAGATAGTTTTATTTGGTTAAACAAGCTTTTAAATTACTGAAATAACAAGAAACAAATTGTAAACAGAACACAATATCTACAGAAAACTGGAAAGAACTAACAATAACATTTTGGCTTCAGCTGTTCCATAAGGATGGGAAATCTACTAAGGGACTATGTTTTATCCATGGTAAAACTTAACACTAATTTTGTATTTAACAGTTTTAGACAGTTGTTAACAGATAATAAATTAACAATTTCAGCACCAATATGACAGTAACCATATAATTTAAAGATGTATTTGTAAACAACTCGCACCCCTGTAACAATTAGTTAAATATCTAAAGGCAGATCTACAAGAATGACTCATAGGCACAGGATGGTAACATTAGAAGGTCAAAAAGCACTATTGAGGCAATGTAACATAACTTTACATTATTGTCACAGTATTATTCACATATTTACAACACAATAGTTTATACCGTCTTTTCAAGCACCAATCAACTTATACTCACACATATATTTATCACCAAACAAAAACAAAGCCAATCAACATCTTAAAAAGTCTATAAAATTTGCTTATTGTCACTTATCTGCACTAAAAAAGTATAACCACTTTTTAATACATCTGTATAGCTACACATGGCTGCATCAATTTGGAAGTTTTTAATGTTGTCTTTAGAGAAACGAAAATATGGTTTAACTTTTTATTATATCTAGTAGTTTTAGGAACTTGATTATAAATGGTGAATTAAAATAATTTAAGGTTGATTAATTGAGTCACATTTTTGAAAATAATTTTAAAATCAATACAGGTTTAAAAAAATATCAATTGCCCATTAAAAAGAACTTGAATTATAATAGTTCAATTATATTAACCTGTCTTTCATGTATGATAATTTAATCTTTGGCAATAATCAAAACAGAGTTAAAATAAGTTTAACATATTAGGCTACATTCTTTTGAATGCCTTACCCTGGCAAAGGATAATTTTTTTAAATAAATGTCAAAGCTGTCAGATAATAATTTGGGTTTTACGTTGTTTTAAGCTTAAGATGTAAGTGAAACTGTATAAAATGACGATGTACAGGTGAGATGAGTGGTTTAGCTGGTCCCGTACTTGCTGGTCTCAAACACTCCTCGTCTAAAGAATGGAGACAGCTGTAGGAGGGCAGCCTTGGTGGAGGCTGAGCTGAGAGGGGAGGAGGGTATCTGAGTCATAACCTGTAGTAGTGACTGTAGGTAGCGCTCTAGCTGTGGCCGTCGCTCTTGTGCTAGCCACTCAGCGTTGCGGGAAAACAAGCGGCGCGGAGGCAGGTTCAGAGCAGTCACCTGCGATATTTGTAACATTGGTATTACTAGGTTGGTACCTGAAGCCATAGGTTCTTGGTAAAACTACAGGTATTGAACACTGATGTTATATTGTTGGTACTGATACAGATTTCAGATATCGGCAATTCAGTACAGTACCTGAGCACAGGCCTTTTGGTGACACAACTTACAATGAAGTCTACCCAAGTTCGGCCTTGAATATTGCGGGGGCAGCAATTACAAATCCATCCCGATATACTCAAAGTATTGCATATTTAAATGAATTTATGATTTGTACGAATTGAACCTCAAAACCATTTTCAAAAATCAATATCTTTGGACAAAGGTTACAATCACCACCACACTGAAAAGGAAAACCCTCTTTATTTCTGGCTGTTTCTTACTTAAGGCGATGACTAATAAAAGAGCTGAACCGACAAAAAGTCATTAATTAATGGTTGCTCAGCACTAAAAAGTTAGGTGAAATTATCAAAATAATATAGTTTCCCACTGACTAAAATACCAAATGCATATTGAATGCATAGACTTTATCCCGCTCATCGTGATTCACACAAGCTCTCGTGCATGTTTTCACAGATTCTTGGTCAACTAGACGTTCTGGTAGCAATCATTTTATTTTTTAGTTAGAAACAGCACAGTAGTTGAAAACATGATCATATTTTACTTAAGTCACAAATTTGTTCAATTTACTTGGTTTTGCAGTTGCTTATAAATTCTGGAGTTTTAAAGAATTAGTCACGACACATATATATATTTTTTTATTCGACAGCAAGTTTGAAAAGTTTACAATTGATTTGACATGACTTACCTTAGCTCCGTATTTCTGTTTCATCTGCAGGTGGAGTTCCCTGAAGCGGCTGTATCGCCGTAGTATTGCCCAGCACTCGCCGGCCACACTCACCCTCACTTCATATGCATAGTGAGTGTTGCTGCCAGCACCTCGCAGTACATAGGTTGGCACTCTCACTGTCAATGGCTCGCTATCACTGCTCTCCCATCCTGGCAACATATCTTATATTAGTATCCTTCCATAGACAGGTCAATATTATAACATAAATCAATACCTATGTAAACTTCTATTTCAGTTTAAGAGTAGGTTAGTTTTTAACAAAAACACCATCAGTTAAAATTCATATTATATAAAATGTGTGTTTTTTTTTGCACAAAAACTCGAGTAGAAAATAAACGTGTAAACCTAAGTTCATTCACAAACCAGCATGATTGGACTATGAATGGGAACATGAACAATATCTAAGAGTATTTATATAGAGGTTTTTATAAATTGGTTTTTCTCATTTTTACCCCCAATTTCCCAATTTCTACCCAAATCATTTTGTAGAGTTTAAAAAGCATATAAATTAATTTTATCTTTAAGTGTATTTGTATTGGTTACAGAAAAAATACAAAAAAACTGTAAATTTAAAATTCCAATGTTTTCTCTATGGAGGATACTTTTTTATGGATATATTTTGATCAAACTTAAAAAATTTATTTCATTTTATACTACACAATGAACATCTATACTTATTTAATATTATTATATTATATTACTTATTTAATACGCAAGCAGGTTTTTTGTGACAATTACTCCTACGAAACTACTGAACCGATTGACATGTTTTTGGTGTCATTGGAAAGAGCGTAATGTGAAGTTGTGCAGGAAACTTTCTTTTCAGGAAAATAATTAGAGAGTGAGGCCTGGGGGCCCTTTAAAGTTTTGTATTTCTCCATAAGATTAACATGGGAAACAAACATTGTTATGAAACTCCAGCTGTTGTCAGAAATGCTGTTCTGCTATTTAATTTAATTTGTTTACAAGGAGAATTGTTTCTTGGTGCCATGTGGTCAATGAATTATACTTTTGCATATATTTTAAATGCTATAAACTATATAAAATGATAGTACTGTCATACATTAAGATATCTTAATTTAAATATTCAATAAGCAGGATTGAGCCTTTGCCTATATGTTTCCTGGTAAGTGTGTTGTACCTGTTTCTTATAGTATGTTATAGTATCTTAAAGTAAAACCAAATTATTCTTTTCTGCATTCTCACCCCGTAGCGAAGCACGGGCAGAGCAACTAGTTTATCTAAAAAAACACACATTATTACTCTCCCTGTAGCAGCAAACTTAGGTACTTGTTCTACCTAATGTTTTTTTTTCTTTTTTTATAGGGAATAAATCCTTCCTGTTTAAGAAAATATGTTAGTAGTGAAAATAATCAGGCAATCAGAAATTTGCTTAGTCTGCAGGTTTGCTACGGTGGGGGTATTTTATAACTTACCGTAAGAGGGATTTAGTGAGGGCATGGATCTCGCCATAGAGTAGTTGTAAGGGGGTATGTGATCCATATACTGACTCTGAAATGGATAAAAATGCTTTATTACAAAAAGCTGATCACTAATAATTTGCTTTAAATTACTTCGGAAGGCCACTTAAATATGCTATGAAATATATTTTTAGACTTAATGAACAAGCTTTGCTGTAATTCATCATTGTTTAACGATAATAATTTCTACTTAATGATCCGATTTGCATGAAATAATATCATTATTTATGGTTTATGGAGGTGGGACATTATACTCTACACTTAAATTTAATACAACAAATGGCTTGAGACTAAATATAACCCATTTGATGTAGGGAGAGTAAATCTAGACTCATTACATCTCACTCATAAATAATGTGATAATGATATTGTATTCATGTCTAAGTGTCAAAATATGATGTTTTAAAGTTTTAACTAAAAAAGAAGACAAGATGATGTAATGTTTTTAAAACAATAATTTTTTTAAACATGTATTGATGGATAGAAACAGTTTATTATATCTAGTAAAATATACAATGATATTCATGAATCAGAACACTTTTTATTCAAACAAGAAAGAATTTAAGTTGTCCAGATAACAAGTAGGGTAACAATAGGTTATGATTTTATTTTCTAGTTGGTAATAAATTATACTCACAGAAACAGATAAATTCATAAGTGGGCTCAGTGGTACTTGTCTTCTCAACCTGCAATACATTGAGGATAAATTAATATTTTGGTAATGTATAATTTGAGAAAAGAAAATCAATACACAAACTAAGTAACAATTGGCTGTGACTTGTTTCATGTCCCATCTTTATAGCTTAGGACCAATTCAAATAAAATCATTCTTTATTCAGTAAAATACAGAGTACATATTGTGTTGAATAGAGTCAAGTCTATAACATTAGAAAATAAACATTTAGTCGAGGGCTGAAAATAAAAACAATAATGTATTTCTAAGCACCGTGAAAATAAAAAAGTAAATAAATAAAAAGGTTCCCTTAGTTATGTTAGGCCATTATAGCCCAGAATTGTTTTACACATTACTCCAGGTTAGGCCTAGGGTGTAACTGCATTATCAAATGGATAAAACCCATTGGTGTTGGCCGAATTTGAACTGACCTCAGGGACTAAAGTTTCTGGCTCACCATTGGTCTGCTCCCTCCCCATCGACTGCATTAGTGCTACATACCTGTTTGACTAATTACAAGTTTATAGCTAGGGCAATTAAGGGAAACAAAAATTGATTAACATATTACAGTAGAGTCCCGCAAACTCGGCTCTCGATAACCCGGCAGTCTGGATAACTCGGCCATCACCTGGCTCAGAAAATTAGTGATTTTTTGAGTCCGTGTTAAAAATGGACTCAAGCCAGCTCAAGCAAATCATTCGTAACTCATACCAAGGATTTGTTGTACTATATCTGATGACTTAATACTGACTTGTAATATAAATAAAAAAGGCGGTTAAAAAGCTTAAAAAATTGTATTTTTCTTATTTTAAACCCTTGTTCCTGATAACCCGGCATTTCACAAACTCGGCATTCTTCCAGTCCACATTACGCCGAGTTTGTGGGACTCTACTGTACAAGAAATATTTGCTGGCAAAGTCACTTTGGTTTTTTTAATTAATTCAATCACCCTGTCCGACAAAATAGCAAAAGTAGGTTTTGGCTGCTAAAATAATGGCAATATTTGTTGTAGGTACTAACTGCATCATGCGGAGATGTTGCGGTGAGTCTTGTGTGTGGCCGAGCTCCTGTGTGGACATACACATGTGATGACAACTGCGGGGAATGTGACCCGAGCTGTCCATCTTGACTGTGCCACACAGCGAGTTGCTGTCAACAGTACACACAGTCAAGTAAACTATCACAATTTACTTGCCGAGTTTGTGAGATATAAGAGTAACCTCAGGAATGTGGAAGTTTTAAATTCAGCAATGGACTTTATATTTATGTAGTGACTGTATAGGTGAGTTCAAGTTGGAGAAATTAAATAAAAAATGTTTATCTTTTTATTTTAAGTTTGATAGTTCTGAGTTTTTTTTTTTACTCCTATGTGGCTTGAATGGATTCAGATATAAAAGTATAAAGTTAATCAATTTTGAGGTATGTGAACAATGAACAATAAACATATGTTCTCCATTTGAGTTGTTTACCAAGCTACAGGTTTTTGTGGTAAAGGTCTGCCACAGGTTTGAGAAGATTTCAGCCTCAACTTACCCTACCCTCAGTTAGCCAACAGTTTATTTAATCAATGTAGTACTTACGTATCCTCAGTAGATGTAGATGCATCCTCTGATTCGTCACTATTTCTTCTCACATTTTCCTTCCCCCGATCTTCCAATTTCTTTTCTAGTCTAACATATTCCCTTTTAAGATCTTGTAAAACCTGAAAATTTTGGAATATGTAAACAGGTTGTTGTGTTGTGCCAGCTATATTGGCCTTTTTAAGAGAAGTGTGGATCAGAATTTTGCGATAACTGTAGCACTGTAAGATTATTGCTTAGTAATCAATCAGATGTTACAAAAACAGAGCAAAAGATCATGGCTAATCACAGTACACAGCCCTACTGCTAAACTCTTAGAGACCTAGACCCGGGAACAATTTACTTTTTGGTTTTGAGGTCCCCAGAGGCCAAAAACACCATCCGTTCAAATTCATATATACAGTGCAACTTGGTTATAACGTCATTTAAGGGACCACACAATTTTTGACGCTATATCAGAGTGACACTATAAAAGGGTCATAAAGCTTATTATTAAATAACATAGGAAATCTCTGTTTTTAATAAATAATAATAAACAAAAAAATAATCTCTGTTTTTATAAAAACATACTTTAATGACATTATTGGTGTAAATACAACTGAATTTATAAATTACAGTTAAGTGTATAGTAAAAGTTATAAATTGCCAAAATAATGTAGCTTACGTTATGGTTTTTTATCAAGAAATACTTTACAGTACTGTAGGTTTATCCTACACTAGCTGTAACCCGCGGGCTTTGCCCCCTTTAACTTCTTAATTTTCAAGATTATCTCGTTCGCATGGCTCAATCACGTCCTGGTTGAAGTTTGTTCGCTACGCTCACTCACCTTTAGGTTGGAGCTCGTTCGCTACGCTCACTCACCTTTAGGTTGGAGCTCGTTCGCTACGCTCACTCACCTTTAGGTTGGAGCTCGTTCGCTGCGCTCACTTGCCTTCAGGTTAGCTCGTTCGCTACGCTAACTCGCCTCCAGGTTGAAGTTCGTTCCCTACGCTCACTCACCTTTTGGTTGCAAATTAGCTGTTGTCATAAATGTAAAAGAAATAGTAGTGCTGCACCCTGTTGGTAATCCTTGAAACTTTAATGCTATTGAACATCATAGAACAGAACCAACTTGTTTAATTGAAACAGCTGTTAAGATTCAATAATTCCATTTCTCATAAGGTTAACATGGGAAACTCCAGAGCAACTGGGGCGGAGCCCGAAAGGATTTTTGAAATAAGAATATGCCTATATGTTAATCGGGAATGTGAGCTATCATCATGCCAAATTTCAGCCCAATCCGACCAGTATTTTTCGAGTTTACTTTTCCCATACACACATACACACATACAGCAACCACCTCTTTTTTATAATAGTATAGATAAAAATCAAATGAATAATGAAGCATAATATGAAATGGTTAGTAAAAATGCAAGCTTACAAATGAAATCCTACTGCTGGAAGAAATCTGTAATTTTCTTCTGCACACCCCTCTCAGAAAAGTAGATTTTCTCCGTCATTTTGTGAAGGTGCTGGGTAGCTTCAAGTGTGGTAGCAGAAGCATCCCTGAAGCGGAAAAAACCACGAAGTGTCTCAGCTGCTTGGAAAGCCTCTTGCGTAGTCGGACAGTCGCCATCTTCTTCCTCGCCTTCATTTTCTTCTTCTTCTGCCTTTTCCTCTGTTTGTAAATTTTTTACCTCATTGACAATTTCTGCGTCACTAAGTATTTGGAAAGTTTCAACGTTGTCGTCGACTGATGCATAACCATCAAGATCTTGCCCAAAATCAAGTTGGTTAGTCTGAAATTGCTTGATCCATTCTGAGATTGGCAACTCATCTTCTTCTTCGTCCTCAGGAGCAGCAGCTGAAAGTCCTGCTTTCCTGAAGCATTTTGAGATTGTCCTTGGCGTCATATCCCTCCAAGCGTTGTCTACGTACTGGATGGCATCCAACACAGTTATGTTCATTGGTTGTGCAGTGTCCATGCAGAGTATCATTTTTTTCAAAAGCTGCTTTCGGTAGTGGCACTTAAAGCTTCGGATTACGCCTTGGTCCATCGGCTGCAAAATGCTTGTGCAATTGGCCGGGAAAAAACCAGCTCGATGTTGGCCAGCTTCAATTTTGGATGAGCTGCACAGTTGTCAACAAGGAGAAGTATGTTTCTATTTTTTGATGACAGCTCCCTGTCCCACTTCCTTAATTCTTCTTCGAATATGGCAGAGATCCATGCTTTCTTGTTGGCTGTGTAAGTTACAGGTAGCTTTTTTACATTTTTGAAACATCTAGGTCGTGCACTTTTCCCGATAACTAAAAGTTTCCTTTTTTCTGAACCCGTCATATTCGCACAAACATAAGCGGTCACTCTTTGTTTTGACAATTTTCCACCGACACATTTTTCATTTTTAAACTGGAGGGTTTTGTCTGGCATCAATTTGTAAAAAAGTCCTGTCTCATCTCCGTTGAAAATGTCCTCTTCTCTGTAGTTTTGCCGCACTACTGGCCATATTTCAGATAGCCAGTCACTAGTGACACTTGAGTCGACGGATTTAGCCTCACCACAAATTTTAGCAAATGAAATTGAGTGCCTTGCTTTGAACCGGTCAATCCTCCGTTTGAGCAAACAAAATCTACTCCAAACATCTGTCCAAACTCCGATGCTTTTTCTTTTAAAAGTGGACCACTCACGGGGATTTTTGAACTGCGGCATTGTTTGAACCATTTTAGAAGAGCTGCATCAATATCACTACGATCACATCCTTTGATTCTTTTCACATTCTCCCCATCTTCTTGAAATGCCTTCAAAATTTTGTCCTTATTCTTCAAAATTGATCCAACAGTGGAATTGACCAACCCAAACTCCCGACACACGTCTGCTATCTTACGTCCGTCTTCACACTGTTTTGTAACATGCACTTTTTCTTTTATCGGCAAAACCTTTTGTTTAACACCTGCCATAACTGCCGGACACCTACTGTAATTTACTGTATGTTTAAGAATTCGGCACTGTTCAAAACTAAAAAAAAAAACTGTCCAAACGCACGAACAAAGATTTTTACTTGTTGACACAAAACCAGACGTAGTGACACTGACCTAGAGACAACGGTACTGTAACCACCTGCTAAGCTGTCTACGTGCAAGATGGATTCCCGGGACAATGGCAGTGTTAGGTGGGGGGTGTGTGAGGGACAGGTTGATGCAACGGGCAATGACCTTGTGGGGTGGTGAGGGGGGTGATGCCGCGGGACGGGACAGCGGCAGTGTTGGAAGGGGGTGGGGGTGGGGGTAGATGCAATGACGACTGCACAATGAAGTGCTCAAGGCCGTATCCAAAAATAGACTAATGAATACGTCTGTGATGCACTACATTGCAAGCATTGCTCATTTTAGCCATTTACACAAGGTTACTTTGTTGTTAGAGCGGAATTTTTTTTATGTTATATACGAGGTTTTAAAATATTTTGACGATAAATCCGAGGTTTTACCAATGCTTACACTTTAAGTTTGGCGGGACTTAGGCTTGAATGACGTTATATCCGTGTTGACGTTATGGCCAAGGCCGTAATAACCAAGTTGCACTGTACATACTTTTTTAATAAAAGATTTAAAATATTTTTGTCTATTATTTTTTTTTTGTTATTTAACCAGTCCATCATAAATCAGTAGGTATTTAAAAATGTTTAAAAAATCAGGTTAAAATGTGGAACTTGCATTTCCCGTTATGTATGAGAAGGGAAATCTCGCCTCGATCTCGTCTCAAAATTTATGAGATATAAAAAATCCCATCTCATCTCAAAATTTTATGACGAATAAAAAATCCCATCTCGTCTCGTCTCAAACTAAAAATCCAATCTCGTCCATCCCTATAATTGTTGCCCAAACCGCAAAATATGTTCATGGGTATTGCCACGGTTGCGGGAAACGATTATCGGCGTAGCCGATATAGTAAAATATGCTCACAGGTATTGCCGCGATTGCGAGAGACGATTGAAACTGGTGTCGCCGAAATTCAAAATATGCATGGTATTGTCGCGATCTTGGGAAACAATTATCGGTGTCGCCTAAACCGCAAAATATGCTCACTGATATTGCTGCGACCGCAGCTTGATAACTGGTCTCGCCTCACTGTTATTAATACTGTTTCAATATGTTGTATAAACTATTATTTCTTGGGAAAGTTTTGTTTTAAAGTTATAGTATCTAACTTACCAGTTATTAAAAAAATAAATAATACAATTTCTAACTTACTATTTTTGACGTACATATTTTAAATATATTAGTTAAATACATTATTTAATAAAAATAATGATTTCTTTTAAAAATCTTTAAAAGTTTGAGTTGATATAAAATGCTGTGATAAAGCTTAAAGTAGGGTTTCGATATTAGTTCTTAAAATTCAAAAAATTTTCTTGAATTCTCATGGAAAACTCCTTGAATTTTTCAAACCAGATTTAGTAGACACCCTGTACAGTGAAAAAGTATTGAGTGCAGTAAATAGTGTTTCTTCAAAGGGCTTGTAACAAACATTGCACAGGTCGAATTTGTAAAAATTGTTTGGAAGTACTCGAGTGTTGTTATCAATAGCAAGAAAGGTGCTTTACTCTCAACACTCCTCGAATGCAGCAAAGAAACTTACACTTATTTCCTGATTTGTATCGATTTGGTCAATATCTGCTTCAAGAGACCGTATAATATGTAGTCTCTGTCTTGTAATTTTCTGCATCAGTAACTTCATAGTCTTAGAGAGATTCTGGTCTTCAGATTTGTCATGGTGTTTCATCTGCAAAGAAAAGGCAAGGTAAAGTAGGTAGTGTACGCAACTCGTGTAAATAGTCATAACGACATTTGTAGAAGTTTTTAGATTTTTAGAAGTTTTCCTTTTGTGTCGTTAACACTATCTTTACCATACGGGATTGTTCCGTAAACTACAATTATGTGATAAACCATTTTTTTAGTTACCTATGTTTTTATAAATCCTACTAAATTATAAAATTCATAGTCAATCAGAAATCGTTCCAAGTAGAAGTAATTTTTTTGAATTTGTAAAAATTGTCCTCAATAATGCCGTATCCATATACAAGACTCTGTGTCATACAGGTGAATAAAAAGTCAAGACCCCCACATCTAATATTTTTTTAAGTAAATATACAGAAATACCTTCTTGGGGGTCGTGCAAACTTGGGAAGCGTAGAACCGGTATCCTCTGGCCCTAATTCGCATATATATATTTTTTTAGCGAATTTCCCTATAGGGAATATTAGCGAATTTCCCTATAGGGAATAAGCTATTACCGTAGGTCTCATGGTAAGACTTAGTCCCGGGACCGATTTACTTTTTCATTTTGATGTTCCTAGAAGCCAAAAACACCATCCGTTCAAATTCATATATATATATATATATATATATATATGTGTGTCCGTCAGCACGATAACTCGAGCAAAAATGGTCCGATTTCGATGAAATTTGGTACAAACGTGTAAACCTACGTTTATTCGAACGAGTTCGCGAGCCAGCATGATCGGACCATGGGAACGGGGTTTTATGGGGGGATTTATGGGGTAAAAATTGGTTTTTCTCATTTTTGACCCTCAAAACATAAAATTTCCCAAATTTCTTCTAGACCATTTTGAAGAGCTTAAAAAAACAAATAATTCAGTATATTGAAGTGTTTTTGTATGGTTATTGGTTACGGAGAAAATTATAAATTAAAAATTCCCATGTTATTCTTATGGAGAATAAGTAAACTTTTGTAGTTTGCTTGTTTATGCATATATTTGGATCAAACTTAGCCAATCGATTTATTTTATACTAAGCTGTTAATATTTTACTGAAAAACACACTTTATTACCCTGTAGGCAGCAAACCTAGGTACTCGTTAAACCTAATGTTATTTGAATAGATTTAATTGAAAATCAAATCAGGCAAATGGAAATTCGCTTAGTCTGCAGGTTTGCTGCGGCGGGGGTATTTTAGAGGTTGGCGGCCTCTTTTAACCTTGCATTTGGCCGTCCACATAGACTACAGATCTGTGTGTAGAACGTATACAGCGAAGCAAGGGGTAAGCCGGTACAGTACAAAGGTGAACTGTACTGATATAAAAGTTTGTGACAGTGACCAGGGTCCGAACCCACGACACTACTGCCTTGGGCCCGAAGTCCGCGACGCTACCAACTGAGCCACCGACTCACCAATAATAAGAATAATAGAATAATAGAAGTTTGGTTAGGTTAGGTTAGGTTAGATTATATAAACCCTGAATTTACGACCAGTGGCCGGGACCCCTACACTCTGCAAACTTAGCAGGAAGATTCATTTTATCAATGTAATGGTAATATTGGCTATTATTTTGGATAGAGAAGGGATAACGAACTCTGGTTTTCACCATTCTTTAGCTTATCCAAAAAATTTATAGACGTCGACATACATTCTGTGACGTTGACTAGCCATATAAGCTATATTATTCTATATCTTATTCTTATTACATCAACCTATAAACATTAACAATTCAATTTTTTATTTAACAGTATGATTTAAATTGGATTTCTGTAAATATTAAGTTTTTTTTCACCCATTCTAATGATAGTAAGTCCAATCTTCGGATCCGGATCCAAATTTTTCAAGATCTGGATCCAGATCCCGTACTGACATTTTAAACATTTTTGCCACCATTGGAAACATAATGTTTATTGTCATGTGGATTGCAGGAACCGTCTTCACAACACTACCCCTTTTATTTTGTTAACTTTAACTTTTATTAAGATGGATGTGTATTTAATATTCCTAGTGTTTTGGAGTGTGGCATCTTTAGGGAGATTGTGACTTATTCTTTTCACCCTATATACACTGGATTATAAGGCAAAACTAAATAAATACGTTAAATTTATTGTGCGAAAGAGGCCACACTCCTACCTACCCAAACCGAGGTGAAATATATGGGAGATAAATATAAACATTTCTTCAAGAACAGAGGCTCCATGTTCTTTTTGGATTATACACTATTTAAACTGGATAAAAGGCCAATACGTACGCTAAGTTTATGGGGAATTTCTGCAGGAACAAAGGCTCCGTACAAATCATTGGCATACCAGTCAAATTCTACTTACCCTGTTGTACAGAAAGCGCAGCCTGTAGCTGGTGTGGTGCTGATGTCTGCCAGAGTCATCAGTACTGCTGACCTCATCACTGTCATCCCCGGGTCTGCCTAGTCCTACTCCACTGTCACTCATGGTAGGAGGGGAGGTCGACCCAGCTGTGTGAAATGTTTCAGGGGAACTGGTCATGTCAGTAACCACAGGTACCAGATCTAGTGTCATTCTGCATAACAGATGGTTTATTGAATACAACATGAACATAGTGTAATCAGGTGCTATAACAATAACATTATGTGGCTTTTTATACTAAATAGTGGATCTTTTAGGCCTGGTGGACACAGAACTCCTGGATCAAACTTTAAGCATTTTTCCTGGTTTTCCTAACTGCAAAACCTGTTTTTCCTTGGTTGTGATTCATAGTTGTCAAGTGTACCTTTTTACTGTGGGTCTGCAGGTCATTGATATTTTGGGAACACTTTGCCTTCAAATAACAGACAATCTTCAGGTTTTAATTTTGTTTTATCGTTTTGTGGCGATCCAGTCCATTCCATTCATTATATTTTTTGCTGTGGCTGCCTGATGGCCGGCCGATGCCAGGAGCGTAGACAGCTATGCGCTGGGTGGATGAGTGCGCAAAAATTTTTGAATTTAGTTTTATCCAGTAGGAGAGGCCTATTATAGAATGTACTGCATCCCAGTCATTGTGGATGTAGTTTTACAAGAACCCAATAGATGGCAGCACGAAACAAAACTGTTAGTCGGCTCTCAGTATTGCCAAATGGAGGGAAAAAGCAGGGGCAAGTACCCGGATACACCATCAAAAAATATCGCAAAAAGGGGTCAACAAGCACAATTAATTTCGAGGTTAGATTCCTTCCACAATGCACAATTCATTATCGTTATTCTATTCCATGTCATTAATCCACGCCAAAATCCCAAACTACAATAAATTTGTAAAAGTCCCTACCACCGATAAAATAGTCTGAAAACAAATTATACCTGATTTAAGAATAAAACCGACACAATAAGCGACGAGCGAAACAACGTCTCAAGGCAGTGGCTAACCTCAAAATGGAATAATAGTTTGTGAACGGCATTTTGACGAGTATACTCAAAGCGCTAGCACACTAGAAAGCGATAATGGTGACGAGATTACTCGTCATGCGCAGCATACGTGTTAATGGGCAAAATATGATAAGAAGAATTAAAACTATACATTAGTGATATTCTCTAAGCTTCACAGTAATATATAGTACATATGTGTTACTAAAACCAGCTTACTGAAAAGTATTTCAAGACACAACTTAAAAATAAAAATTAACTATACCCTATATGTTTTCTCCTGTAATATTTCCTAATATTTAACTTTTGGTGTGAACTTTTGCGTGTGTCATGTAGGCTACTTATAGTTTTACCAATCTTTTTTTAACCCTTTGGTATCATATCAATAAACTCAATGAAAAACACACCTTTGTTTTTTCTGAGAAATGTCGGTGATTGTTTCTCCTCCTTGTTCCAGCGTCTTTACTTCCCCAGATGATTTTGACTCCTCTACAAACTGCTTAAGCATCTCACATTCTTCACTAGATTGTTCCAGCATTAGTGCATCTACAGCTGATTGCTTCAACACCTTTGAATCTTCAGTAGATTGCTTGAAGACCTTTGATTCTTCGGTGGATTTCTCTAACACTTGTGCCTCCTCGTATGAATGCTCCAACATCTTTACTTGTCCAGCTGAACAATTATTTCCATTGTCCTGAGAGTACAAAATTATTAAATGTTATTTGTTTGGTTTAAGGTCATTGAACTTGGAAAAATCTATTTTTTTGTCATAACTTAGTACATTTAAGCGCTTTTTCCCCTAACAGCTGTTGTCATAAATGCAAAAAGATAATAGTGCTGCCCAAACATAAGGTTAACAAGGGAAACTCCAGAGCCACTGGAGCGAAGCCCATAAGGATTTTTGAGATAAGAATATGTCTATATGTTAATCGGGAATGTGAGCTATCATCATACTAAATTTAAGCCCAATCTGACCAGTAGTTAATGCATGAGTGAACTTCAACACACAAACTTTCACATTTATAATACTAGTATATGATATTAGTGGCTAAGCACCTATATAAACATGACTATACTTTGTTATGATAATTTAGTTATTACAGTACTGTATTTTCATTGAACATACCAACAAATTTTCAGTAGCAGCTGACTCATCAATAGTCTTGATCTGTTCATCAATTTTTCTGAGTTTTTCATTTCGCTCTGCTACAGACTGAGTTCTGTTTTTCAGTTCAGTCTCCAGTTTGGCAAGAGCCTCTTTCTGAAATTATTGAATTTATATCAAGTTTATTAAAAACTTCACAACATCAACAATTTTACATTGTAGTTTGGATGTATCAAAGCCGAATTCCGAATCCACTGGACCAAAAAAAAAAAAAAAATAATCATAATAATTGAGATCAAATCAGCTTGATTCAAGAATGGAATTTCACATTTTTAGTTGCCTCCTGTTTTGCCTGAGTTATCACAACCTGTTTGTTCATTCAAGGTAGTAAAAGTAATAGATTTAAGATTAAAATCCTAAAGTTTTTTGTTTTCTTGTGTACAGTATGTGCTTGTTTGACGTTGTTGAGAGTTCGGCGTCAAGGATTTGTTAACATCGATTGAATTGGTTTTGAATAGAGTAAATTAATGATAGTGAGAACTGATTTAAAAATAGATTCTAAATTTTCTTTGATAACAATTGTACTAAGATTCAAGATTCGAGACTCTGATTTTCATGATTCGTACTTGAGGCATATCGCGATCTTGCACAGAGCTTTGCCCAGAACTATTTAAAAATAAAAAGCATTCTTGTTGTGGATGTTTTACTAATCTCAATCCTCAGTGAAGATACTGTAGTTAGCTTGAAGTGGCCATTATACATGGGAGTCCATAACATTTAACAATTATTATTCCATTATAGTTAGGCTGCGTGAAATTTAACCTTTCCTATAACAATTGCTTCTTCCTGGCTGATGTATCATGGTGAACATCCTGCTTCAACTACAACAGCAATATCCTCAGTCCTGAAGTTTCATCAATCTATAGAATATCGACCAAACAATACTCTAGGTTAATAAAATATTTGTAATTTTACAGTAAAAACTCAGTAAAATGAACCCTCTCTAAATAGTTGAGGACTTAGTTAAACATAAAATAAGTTCAGATAAAAAGACAAGTAAACCTACTTTAATGACATACAAAAGTTGTATTAGTCATTTCATTACCTTATTAGGTGTTGGTTTATGGTTCTATTTTTAATGATAAGATATTCCTCTTACTAGAACATATATATTATAAAATAAAAAAAAATCAACATAACTATGTACTTGTCAGCTAAACTGAAGGAAAAGTAAACCAATTTTAAAAAAGTAACAGATACAAAGTTACTAACTACAATGTACTAACATGGTGATTTATGATTTCTCCAACAACTCCTTCCTTGAGAGCAGAAGTGAGTGAGGCCCAGCAGTCAGGAGAAGTAGGAGGACTGGCGGGATGGAAAGTGAGGTCCATCCAACACAGCCCTTCACAGAACTTCTCTGCAGCCAATACCTGGGTCACAAACACAAATTATACACATCATATGTTACAAAACATTTCTTTTGTGTTTGTGGTCTCTTGTTCCTTTTAATTTCAGTTTCATACAATATTTCATTTATGAATAGGTGAAGAAACTGTACAAAGTAATGAATGAATGAATGAATGATATTTATTGGCATGTAATATACAGAATTTAAAGGATGTAGGCGATTTGTCATGAATGAAATTCAAGGTCGGCTAAAACAAACTGTAATATTTTACAATTGAGGATGGATAATCCAATTATTGATTAATGCGAGGTCTGTTAAGAGGGGGTCTACTATACATTGTTCATCAAAGAGTATCTTTCTTATCAATCTATATGTTGGATTATTTTTAGGTCACAATTTTTTTTTTTTTTTTTTACAGTGAACACATTTCACATTTTTTAAATCATAAAAAAATGCAACAGCTCAACAATAATTAAAAAAAACTACACTTTTTTATTTCTTCAGAGTTAAGTTAACTCTCTTGTCAACTTCAAGATATATTTCTAATCTGCCTATGCTTTATCAATATACAGGGTGAACCTTGTGTAAGGTGTCCACTATTAATTTTAGACAAATATTTGGTCTCACAATGAAGGAATAAAAATGAACCAAACCAACCCTAAAAAATGTTTTTATTATCTTGAAATTAGGATCTTTAAGTTGAAATTATCTGTTTGTATTTTACAATTGTGAGATTTGAACTTACCAACCACTGGTACATCCTCCATTTTTGGGGGAAAATGTTTTTTTTATTTCATCATTGTGAGACCAAATGTTTCTCTGAAATCAATAGTAGACGCCCTAGTAGAAGTAGTATAATATAAGATTCACCCTGTAGAATTAATATAAAAGTTGGAAATATTAAATATCTTCTGTATATTACTTTTTGAGTTGCCATATCTCCATTTACTTGTCATTCCGCAGCAAAAATATCACCGCAAATCGATCTATAATACTAATTCCCTAAGGAATTTCTTGTGTACAGCAAAACTATTATATTTATGGATCGTTTTTTATGATTGAGGTGTCAAATTAAAGTGATTTCTCTGTAGAAGTCATGGAATAATTTTGATCACCCTCAGTTGAATGTGATTTGCCCGATTGGACTTTATTTAAGTTTCAATGTTATTATTATGGAAGAAAGATTTTGTTGGATTTGTGTCCCTTGTGATTTATCTAAATTGTCATTACATTTAAATAAACAGCAGCTGTTTAAGGAAATATTTCTGTGAAATCTCCGTGAGGATAACGGGATACCGTCTAGTAATACCAAAATACAAATTTAATGAGACTACATATTTAGTTATATTGTTTTCAGGTAACAATGAAACTAATAGTTTAATATTTAGGTAAAATAATAAAAAGTCTAATAAGGTATACCAATGAAATATATGCAGTATACAAAATGAAATAAAATAAAATACATTGTGATTATGAAATGTACTTACGCCAAGTGGTTTGATATTTCGCTCAGGCAACCTAAAATTGTTATTCAGGCAGAGTATTTCCTCTATCTTTTCCGCAACAATGTCTTTAAACTCATTCTTTTTCAAATCAATGTCACGTTTGACTTCATTCAGGGCTTGTTGTTCTATCGTTATCTAAAGGAAAAGTAAATAAAACAAATAAATAAAAGGTCTACTAAGTACATACATATAAAATAAATAAAACATAAATATGAAACTATTCAGATTACCAGAAAAAAACAAAAAACTAAAATAACAAACAAAAAGCATCAAAGCTATTTTAGGGGAAAAAGGGTTCAAATTATTTTATGAGAGATAGATGATCTGAGGAATACAAGGAGAGTTACTACGGTACAAGAAATTAAAAGATATTCCCCAAGTGCAAAACAAAAAAACCGGTACATTTTTTTTCTTGGAGGTGAAATCAAGTTGCTGTGTCTGCCAGCATTTCTAACTTGCTTCAAGTTGAGCTGGTCTAGAGCCCCCCATACACAAGCGAGCAAGCCTTTTTTTCGTCCTAGGACGCTAGGCAAGAGCCCGGAATTGTTTTTCACATTACTTTAGGCTAGACCTAGGGGTTACGGCATTATCACTTAGATCAAATCCATTGGTGATTTGACGAGATTTGAACCCGGGACCCCAGGAACTGGAGTCCTGCGCTCTAACCACTAGGCCAACTCGATGCCCAACACATTTGTCAAACACGCTCGCGAACATGCTCGGTGTTTATGACAGACGATCAAGCATGCTCGCCAACACGTTTCCCGCTACCGCCCAGTACTCTTGTTTCTCTCGCACTGTGACAGTCAAGTTGTGTTTATTTATTAAAATTTAATATTTAATATTGGCTTCGAAACAGGAACCGGTTCAGTCACATGTCTCTGTTAACAGAACTAGCATCAAACAAACCAAATGATTATGAATACTATAAATAAATACCCCCGCCGCAGCAAACCTTCAGACTAAGCGAATTTCCATTTACCTTATTTGATTTTCAATTAATTCTATTTAAAAAACATTAGGTTTAACAAGTACCTAGATTTGCTGCTACAGCGAAGGTAATAAAGTGTGTTTTTTAGTAGAATATTAATAGCTAAGTATAAAGTAAATAAATTTACCAAGTTTGATCCAAATATATCCATAAACAAACAAACTAAAACAGTTTAATTATTCTCCTTAACATGGACAATTTAAATTTAAATTTTTTTGCATATCCCCGTAACTAATAACCATAAAAAGACACTTCAATATACTAATTTATTTGTTTTTTGAGTGCCTTTTAGAGAGAAATTGGGTAATTTTATGGTTTTGTGAGTTAAAAATTAGAAACATTATCCCACCTTCCACCTTCAAGCCAAATTTCTTGAAAATCAGACAAAAAATGACTCAATTTATCGTGTTCATGGACGTATATACAGGGTGTTCATAAAAGGTGGGGACATAATTTACGTAGTGATTCCTTGGATCAAAATAAAATGAAAATCAAAAGTTATTTTTTTTTCAAAATCACTTTTCAGATATCTGTCATTTTGCATTTTTTACATAACATTTTTATCTTTGGCTTTTCTCAACCGATCTTTATGAAACATGGTAAGAATGTTAAGGTAGAACAGACCCATGTTAGAAAAAAATAATATTGATTCAACTTAAAATTTTAAAATAGCGGCCATTTTAACTTTTTAAACTTATATTACAAATAAATAAAGGCTGATTTTATGAAAATATTTCAAGAACACGTTTATTTATCATTTTTTATTCCCTATCAAACTATAACAAATTTAAAAAGATCAAATAAGAAATAGCTGAAATATTACGACTTTTAGATGTAAAATGGGGCAAACCTGACTACAGCTGTAGCTTGTAGCTTAGCCTAATTAACTTTATGGACCTTAATACTACCCCATTTTACAACTGAAAATCATAATGTTTCAGCTATTTCTTATTCAATCTGTTTGAACTTGATCTCGTTTGATAGGGAATTAAAAATGCTAAATAAAAGTGTTCTTGACATTTTTTCATAAAATCAGCCCTTTTTAGTAGGTATCATAAGTTTAAAAAGTTAAAATGGCCGCAATTTTGAAATTGTTTGAATGAAGATGATTTTTTTTCTAAAATAGGTCTCTTCTATCTCGACACACATACAAAGTTTCAAAAAACTCGGTTGAACAAATTCAAAGATAAAAATGTTTATGTAAAAATATACAAAGTGACAGATATCTGGTTAACGAAGCGATTTTGGAAACTATTTGAATCATGATTTTCTCTTTATTTTGAATCACAACGTAAATTATGTCCCTGCCTTTTTTGAAGACCCTGTATAAGTCTATAAATATATATATGTCCAAAATATACGTATAAATATACATGTATAAAAAATTGGTTTATATATTTATAAATAAACGACCAGTGTTTTTAGCCGCTAGTGATAGCAAAATGAAAAAGTATATTGGTCCCGGGCCCGGGCCCAGGTCTTACCGTGCCACCTACAGTAATAGCTTCTTCCCTATAGCGAAATTCGCTAAAATTACCTGAGGATAACTGGACTATTTCAAAGACATTCTCGGACGTATTTGTCATACAAGTTTTACATGTACCCTGGCGAACATGATGGTCATCCCCACAGACGGGTGAGCATGTTCGTGTTGGTGCTCGGGATCGCCGGGTCCGACGAGCCGAGCGCCGAGCCCAACATGCTCGCCAGTAGGAAAGCTCGCAGACCCCATACACGGGCGAGCATGTTCGACGCAACACCGTCGCGAACATGCTCGCCCGTGTATGGGGGGCTTAAAAGGTGTAACTGTACTTTTCATGCTAATTTCATTGACAATTTGCCCCAGTCACACAGCTACTGGTGTAATAATAATATATCGATTGCACAATCATTTTAAAATATATGGATAGAAAGTTATTATTGATATATTTCACCAAAATACATGACAAAATGATTCTTTGATATTATGATAACAGTTTCTAAAGAAATTAGCATTACAAACAGCATGGACGGGGATGTGGTCTTACCGCAGCAATCTCCTCATCTCTCTCACACTGCAGCAGTTGTCTGTTCTTGTCCAGTTCTGCCTCCTTGTGTCGTAGAGAGGCTAGGTTAGCGGCCTGGTGCTGTTGTAGTTTCTGCCAGTCCTCGGCCAGCCGCTTGTATTGTGCCTCATACGCTTCCTCCATCTGCTGCCTCTCCTGCCAACCAGAGGTACATAAAATAACTTTCTATAAATGGTAATAAATAACAGTGCCTACAGTAGAAATCCAACCAACTGAACCCTACTTATCTTAATTAGCTTTTTTTTAAGTAAACCCCACCATCATTCATAGTTTAAGTTTGTAAGTCAATTGACTATCCAAATCACCTATTATCCAAATGATTTTGAGTGAAAAAAAAATTGAAATATACAAATTAGGAAAATAACAACGAGAGCACGGGTAGTGATAATATGCCGTTCCGTGACTATGGCAACATAAATTAAAGCCTGTGCTGTTACCCTCCCACAGGGAACTATAGGTCATACCCCCCTTCCCGGCCTACTTGCACCAGTGACTACCGCCACAGAAAACGTACTACTATAACCCAGAATGCCAACCGCATGGTAAAAAGCATTAAGCGGTTTGAGAGAGCTTTGCCTGTCAATCCGTAGGCAGCGCCACCAGCGTTGCTATGCTATTGCATGGCAACGCTGATGGCTCTGCCTACGGATTGACAGGCAAAGCTCTCTCAAACCGCTTAATGCTTTTTACCATGCGGTTGGCATTCTGGGTTATAGTAGTACGTTTTCTGTGCTACCGCTCTTCTAGTGTTCTATTAGCTAGATTAGCTGTGTTCATATAATGTGACATATACATTTTGCTTACTTTTTATTTATTACATTTATTAACTTTGTAAGTAAAATTGAGTTTGTTTAAACGTATGGTGATTTTTTTCTTATTTTCCTTGGTACAAAAACACACATCCACACAACACACAGCCACACAACAAACAAAGTGTTGAAAATACATATTGTAGACTGTAGTCTTATTGTATCTATTGTAGACTGTATTGTCAAGTGATTTTGTTTTCTGATAAAGTAGTAAAGCACAGTTACGAACCTAAAGGTTCATTCTCAAGGAATTCAACAAATTGTTGCAAGAAAAAAGTGCTAATTACCTATTTAGTACCCAGGGTCCCATCCCAATAAATCACTTTGTCCCGACCATACTCTATCTAACTTGGTGAAGCAAAACTTTTATATGCCTAGTAAATGATTACAGATATGTTATGATAAGGCAAGAGAGGTATCTTCATCCAGGAATGCATTCTTAAATTAAAGTAAATGAAGTTATAAGTTGTACAGATACAAAGCTAATAAGTGTATACTTTAATATGAACAACAATGAAATTATATTTCAATGAGGATAACCAGTAACATTTTATACTATACCATGCAAACAGTTTACAATATTTCTATCAAACATAATTATACCTGCTTGCCCACATTTTACATGACAGATGGACAGGAATGTGTGTATCAATATTAAATGTGACCCTATACCTGCTCCAGTTGTTTCTGAGCCAACTCCAGTGCCTCTCTTTTCATCTGCTGTTCCTTCTCCCAGTCTTGCTCTTTCTCTGCTTGCTCAATCTGATAACAAAAATATATCATACGTAAGAGAAAACACCTCTTTCACACAAATTTCTGAGAGGATTTTGTCACTTGGAAAATTACGGTACCATGTCTCTGTTATGACATTAACAAGACAAGTATTTGATTCACTGAGATTTTCAAACATTGATCTTTATCAACGAATGCAAAATTATGTCTCTTGAGTCCCACCTTTTCTCCAGTTTTAAGACAGTTGGTCATTTCAGGAGTTGATGTCAGTAAAAATGGCAATTGTAAAATATTCCAGATAAGTAAAATTTGTGTGTCCAAAAATTTGAATGAAGCATTGAGTTTTTAAACTTTAAACCAACATATTTTCTAAGGAAAAACCATTGTACACTTACCTTAAAAGCTTCTTTTTCTTTTATTAGTTCGGCTCTTTGAACTTTTAATCTTCCCAATTTGTCAGTGTCCTCACTAAAACAATTGAGGTTTTATTTAGTACAGTAAACTTTTTAATGGAATAAAACTTTTTATTACTTTCCAAGATTGTTTTGTACACTCAAACTTAATTTGGAACAAGTGCCTTGGTGTTGTTCTTCTTTTTAAGAGGCTGATGGCCTTTTTAAACCTTATCGTGTTTTTAGGCCCTAAGCCTTTGTATGAGACATATACAACAAACAAGGGATGAGTTTATAGAGTATGAGAGTGAACTCAAACTGTAAAAATGTAGTTGCAGGAACTAAGATTGACCCTCGACATTGCTGCCATTAGTCTGTTGTGCTACTAATATTGAGCCACCAACTTACCATTAATATAAATTCATTTTTAAAATAATATAAAATTCAAGAATCTTTCCTTAAGGAACCATTGTCTTTTTAACAGTAAATTTAGCACGGCATCCCAGAACTTAGGATTTTGTCCATACCATAAAAGTTAACTTTTCATAGAATGTTTTGATATTTTATTTGTTTAAAAGATCAGCAAATTTCTACAATTTTTAAAAGTTTGTGAGGCTGTAAATGTGTTAACCATAAGAAGACCGATGTTTCTACTTTTTACAGTACTAACACACTTGGCAGATATGGTTTTTATGTTAACTGACCAGGATGTCTGTAGGCTCTCACAGGATTGTGACATTGAGAGGTCGTTGGTGGACCAGCTGAGCAGTGACAGTCTAGACAGGTTGAGGTTGGACGGGTAACCTTCCTTGCGCAACTTCTCTGCCTCCATAGGGTCATTGTAGCGGAACATGTTGTTCCTACCTAGCAAGATCTGGCATCCTATAAAACAGACAAGTCTTACTACAGCATTCAAGTTTTCTTACAAAAAGACTAAAGCTATAATCTTCTATAATATTGGTTTAATTTCAAGACAAAACAACTATAAAACATTGTCTTGCTGTGAGGGTCTGAAGGTCAGACTCTAGTTGGGTCAGGTCAGGTCAAAAATGTTGGTCCTCGAGTTTCAGGCTAAAATCAAGTTGCTTTGGAAACTAATTGTAAACATCTTTCACGGTCACAATGAAATTGTAAACATCTTGTGCAGTGAAGGCAAAATTTAGAATGTTTTCCACAGTCACAACGGAATAAAGATCATCTCCTGCGACCTAGGCAAAATTGTGAATACTTTCCGTAGTCACGGCGAAATCGTGAAAGTTCCACGGTCACGGCAAAACCAAGAACATATTCCGCAGTCATGTTGAAACTGTGAACATCTTCCGTGGTCACAGTAAAATCTAGAAGATCTACCGCAGACTTATGAACGTCTGCTGCAGTCGCACCCAAATCAAGAACATTTCCTGCAGTGTCAAAGCTATTGTTAGTATCTTCCCCAGTCACGATGAAATCGGGAACATTTTCTGTCCCCCACAATTGCAGCCAAACCTTGAACATCACACTCAATCGTGAGGTGAAATTGTCAATATGCAATCCATCTTGTTAGACGCTTTCTGCTATCCCAAAAAATAATCTCTAAAAAAAGGCTTTGTGGTGAGTTGTTGGCTATTGGTTGTAGCACCACGGACTTCGTGCCCAAAGCAGCAATGTCGTAGGTTTGGATCCTGGCACCTGCCACTACTTTTTATCAGTACAGTTCACCCTCGTACTGCACCAGCTCACCCCTTGCTTTCGAGGATATGTTCCTTGCACAAGCCTCTATGGCCCATTATTAGTATTAAGCAAAGATACATTAGTATTAAAAAGGCTCGGTTCAGATCGACCCGACCCAATTTGACCCGAAAATAATTTTAGCCCTGAACCAAATCCCTCAGGCCAACTGCCCTTAGCCTAACCCTGCCAGAAAATATCGGTGACCCACAGACTTTGTTATTGTGTATTACTTTAACGTCCGATTTCACCAAACACTTAAACCGCCATTAAACCATGCTTAAACTGCAGTTACCTCTTAACTGACAAAATCGGATTTTACCACTCGCCGTTAGATAATTAACAGCCCAATTTTGACGGGTTAACTTCTTTAATCTTTTGTAAGTAAATATAAGCTAGCTTTAAGTTTAAGTTTTAGGTTTATATGGAAAGGCCAAATGCTAGAATAGTCGAGGCGCTGAGGGGGTTTGAGCATGCATAAAAGTGTAACGAAATTTGACTTTTGATTGTTGCTATGGGTACCTAGTAGATGAAGAAAATCGATGTTGTCGCATTTCTAGGTGGTTAATAACATGGGGGGGAGGGGGTGAAGTTGGGGGGCCGCCCGGGGGGCCGCCGCGCACAAAATAGCTTATATCTCAAGAACCAAAAGTCATATGAATACGTTAGACATGTTAAACTGTGCAGAAAAATGCATTCTACAAAGAGATTATGTAGTAGATTCACGGAAATTGACAAGAAGTTACTAAAAATTATATTTTTTAAATTTACGATAAGTATAATCAGGAGTATAATGGTTTTTGTTGTTGTTTAGAACCACTATTTTTTTTATTGACAACTTTTGAGAGTAGTACACAATAGGTAAATAGTATTTCTGTATAATGAAACTATTGCGGTACATAACTTAACAGCTATACAATCCTCAGATCCAATAAACATAACACAAACAAAGGCGCAAAACGCGTCGCGGTCATTGTTCCTGCTGCCGTAACTATTAATGGCGAGTACAGTTCAAGCTGATACTTATATTATACTTTTAGAAAGATGGAGATTCTGAGGATTCATTTTCATATATATAAAATAGTATTGAGTGACTATTATGTAGCGAGAAATATAGTTTGTAAAAGAAGAGAGTTCAAAATAAATTTTTGTGGTGGATCGTTTCCATCACGATCTGAAACTGCAATAAATTCCCTACAATTTATATATCTCAGAATCTGAGGTTGGTTATAACAATTTTATGTAGTTTTGAAAAGGTCATAGAAATTATGTTTTCGTAAAAAAATGTTAACATTTCACATTCTGACGTAAATTACTCAGGAAATTTCGATTTCAACTACATTTAACTATATATTTTTAGAAAGAGCTTTTACTCTTTGAATACAATGGAAATTCCATGTACAGTATCTAAACTTAAATTTATTTCATTACAATACAAAATTGATGGTAAAAGAAAAGAAACTAAGGGTTCACAATAAAAGTTTACAAAGGGTGGCAAATGAATTTACTAATTTAAGCTTTAGGCTAGGCCTATTACAATAGTTCTAATTTAGGTTGAGGGGTTATATTGCATGGATCTCAGGTGGGGTGATCGAGCGGCATTTGAATTTAATCTTGTGATTATATATAGCCTAATTAAATTTTGTTTTGAAATATAAATTATGTTCGAATTATTTTCTGATAGGCTGAATTAATTAATGTTCTGAATAAGCTTCTATTAGTTTCTTGACTTTTAAATTCTGGTACAAAAGTTCAAAAGTTAGGCTTAAAAATGTTCTAATGGCTTCGATCCAAGGAAAGAAAATGTCTACTGGAGTGATCTCACCAAAATTGATGTCTTCTTCACAGTTAAATTTCTTGATGTTGTGTAGTTATTAATGTTTGTAACAAGGACGGATCTTCTTTAATCAAATTTCACTAATTTATTCCAAATATATGCACTTTTTTATAAATTTTTATATTAAAATATGCAGTTTTCAATTTATATCTTCATACTAGCTCAGCACTCTTGGAAGTGAGGAAGTTGCATTGTTGCATTCACATATGTCAATGCTGACTTTATCACGGAAAATTGTAGGCCACTGTTCACACATATATTATAACAATTTTCATTTGCTATAGAGCTAAATTTGAATTTTGACAAGTTATTTAAGTAAAATTATATTGAATTTGAAGCAATTTTGTTACAAAAAGTTATAGGCTATTATATATTTACATGAAATAAGGTTATTTGAAAATGCTCTATATTATATTGTATTGAATCAATAACCTATTGGTCTGTTTGGCCATATATTATACAAGGTTTGATAAAGGGAGATAGATTGAAAAAAATTAAGTTATTGTATTTAAAATTTTTGTGAAAATACTGAATTGTTACAGCAGTATAATATTTATTTACTGTTGATGCAATAAATTTATTTCTTATACAACAATTAAATAAAATTTGGTAATTAAACTAGTTTTGTAGTTTTTTTATAATTTTATTTTTATGCGTATTTAAAAAAAAACATTGATATTTCTACGTAAGGATTCATATTTTACACAACCTTAACATTTGGATAATATGGATAAAGACCTTATTTTTATGATTTTTGCGGGTTGATTTGGACATTTCTAATTTGCATAATCCAAAAATTTGCCAACCTCTTGCTACTACGCCTAAAAGCATTGCTGAAAAATATATATTTTTATATTATTATATTCTACATTTATCACTGAAACATAATATATAGTACATATCTACTTATATGGGCATGTAACTGTTCTCTGGTAAAATATATGTTACCACTACAAAAGGGCCAAAATATAACCACCACTAGTACCCAGATAGGGTCAAGGATTGAGAGAGAAGAAGTAAAATTATAATGCTTCGAACTTCAACTAATCAGCTGTTCAGGCAAATTTAATTGTTAACGATTGGTGCGATGATTCGTTGCATTACTGTCAGAGACAATGAGGGGTAAAGAAAAAATAACCTCTCTTTTTAAGTTTTGAGTAGTGGTTTTTGATAATTAAAATACTGTCGCAGGTTAATTAGTGCACACAACTCGCGTAAATAGTGTGACACTCGTAGAAGTTTTTAAGGCACTCGCCAAGGCTTGTATTTAACATTTTCTACTCGTATCGTTTACACTACCTTTACGCGATCGCCGAAACAGCTGTTGCACCAATTGTGCTGCCTGGTCAGGTGATGGAAACGTTCAACCACCAAAATTTATTTTGAACTCTCTTCTTTTACAAACTATATTTCTCGCTACATAATAGTCACTCAATACTATACTATTTTATATATATGAAAATGAATCTTCAGAATCTCCATCTTTCTAAAAGTATAATATAAGTAGCAGCTTGAACTGTACTCGCCATTAATAGTTACGGCAGCAGGAAGAATGACCGCGACGCGTTTTGCGCCTTTGTTTGTGTTATGTTTATTGGATCTGAGGATTGTATAGCTGTTAAGTTATGTACCGCAATAGTTTCATTATACAGAAATACTATTTACCTATTGTGTACTACTCTCAAAAGTTGTCAATAAAAAAATTAGTGGTTCTAAACAACAACAAAAACCATTATACTCCTGATTATACTTATCGTAAATTTAAAAAATATAATTTTTAGTAACTTCTTGTCAATTTCCGTGAAACTACTACATAATCTCTTTGTAGAATGCATTTTTCTGCACAGTTTGACATGTCTAACGTATTCATATGACTTTTGGTTCTTGAGATATAAGCTATTTTGTGCGCGGCGGCCCCCCGGGCGGCCCCCCAACTTCACCCCCTCCCCCCATGTTATTAACCACCTAGAAATGCGACAACATCGATTTTCTTCATCTACTAGGTACCCATAGCAACAATCAAAAGTCAAATTTCGTTACACTTTTATGCATGCTCAAACCCCCTCAGCGCCTGGACTAGAAGGGCATATGATACAAATCAGCTTTTGAAAGTGATAGTGATGAAGAGTAGCCTATGTTGTTCGCCGAACTAGGTGGATAAGAGAAAGGATTAGTAATTTTAATAATGTAGACAAAACTTATGTTATTAATAGATATGAATTATCAAAACGTTAAATGCCTTTTCTTTAGGTTATCCCTCAAGGTTTTTAGTAAACTGGTATCTCTAGGTATGTGATTAGCGATCGCGTTGAACTGATTGGCGATCAAGAGCCACTCTTTTATCCCGTCTGAAAAGAGTGTTTTTATCCAACATTATCAAAATCCTTTTTTCTTTGTTCGAAAAATTAGGCTCCCTTTTTTTCCCCGGTTTTGGGTAACCCTAACCTACGCTCAAACAATTGTTTTGCGTTCGGTCAGACATAATTAGGGATAAAAAACTAAACCTAAATTGGCATTATTCTGCTAGTATTTATAGAAAATCATTATTTTGATGTTATCTTTATTATGTCTCAATCTTGTAACTATTTTTGCCTCCTTTTTCCCACTACTTGAAATGTACTAAACTGGTTAGTTAACAAACAGAAATCTTGAACTTCCCTTTAAAAAGTTATATTTTGAGTCTTAACTCAACAGCAAAATCTATCATTAGGGCCCCTCATGTAAACAATAACAAAAGATTTAAGCATAACCAAAAATTGGGTATTGTAGTGTACCTTGGGACAGCCTGGTGGGTTTGTCTATAAGGCAGCCGTTGACCCAACACTGAGCTGCAGCATGGTGAGGTACAAGAGTAGCCACCCCAGCAGACAACACAATGCTGCAGTGTTGCTGTTCTACATCAACACCACTCAACACTATATCAGGCTTGGGACAAGCGTCATCTGACCCAATCACCGTCTCTCCATCCTGACAACATAATATAGTTGTGTAGTTACTCCACCAGACAACACAATGCTGCAGTGTTGCTGCTCTACATCAACACCACTCAACACTATATCAGGCTTGGGACAAGCGTCATCTGACCCAATCACCGTCTCTCCATCCTGACAACATAATATAGTTGTGTAGTTACTCCACCAGACAACACAATGCTGCAGTGTTGCTGCTCTACATCAACACCACTCAACGCTATATCAGGCTTGGGACAAGCGTCATCTGACCCAATCACCGTCTCTCCACCCTGACAACATAATATAGTTATGTAGTTACTCCACCAGACAACACCATGCTGCAGTGTTGCTGTTCTACATCAACACCACTCAACACTATATCAGGCTTGGGACAAGCGTCATCTGACCCAATCACCGTCTCTCCATCCTGACAACATAATATAGTTGTGTAGTTACTCCACCAGACAACACAATGCTGCAGTGTTGCTGCTCTACATCAACACCACTCAACGCTATATCAGGCTTGGGACAAGCGTCATCTGACCCAATCACCGTCTCTCCACCCTGACAACATAATATAGTTATGTAGTTACTCCACCAGACAACACCATGCTGCAGTGTTGCTGCTCTACATCAACACCACTCAACACTATATCAGGCTTGGGACAATCGTCATCTGACCCAATCACCGTCTCTCCATCCTGACAACATAATATAGTTATGTAGTTACTCCACCAGACAACACCATGCTGCAGTGTTGCTGCTCTACATCAACACCACTCAACACTATATCAGGCTTGGGACAAGCGTCATCTGACCCAATCACCGTCTCTCCACCCTGACAACATAATATAGTTATGTAGTTACTCCACCAGAAAACACCATGCTGCAGTGTTGCTGCTCTACATCAACACCACTCAACACTATATCAGGCTTGGGACAATCGTCATCTGATCCAATCACCGTCTCTCCATCCTGACAACATAATATAGTTGTGTAGTTACTCCACCAGACAACACAATGCTGCAGTGTTGCTGCTCTACATCAACACCACTCAACGCTATATCAGGCTTGGGACAAGCGTCATCTGACCCAATCACCGTCTCTCCACCCTGACAACATAATATAGTTGTGCAGTTACTCCACCAGACAACACAATGCTGCAGTGTTGCTGCTCTACATCAACACCACTCAACGCTATATCAGGCTTGGGACAAGCGTCATCTGCGCCGATCACCGTCTCTCCATCCTGACAACATAATATAGTTACGGAAAGTAAATAAAAGAAACGTCTTATAACACTTAAAACATATATTTACGCTTATACTGTTACTCACAAGACGGTAAATATACAAAAACGATGGTAAGTGGTAGAGATGTGCGAGCACAGGTTTTTCAGGTCGAGTCGAGTTCGAGTCGAGTAATTGGCAAAAGATTCGAGTCTCGAGTTCGAGTCGAGTTTAAACCCAAAAGATCGAAGAATGTGTAAGTTTAAGTAACTCCTTAGGCCTAGAGCATGTAACTGTTAAAACAACCTTGTTACAAGCTGAAATATGATTATAAATAAATAAATTATTAATATTTGTGCAGTAACATATCAATATAATGCATAGAAAATAATTTTAAAACAACAACAATAGAGCTCATAAATGAACTTCTACTTCTGTAAAAAAAGGTAAGTGAGCATACATTTTTTTATCCAAAAATAAAATACAATAATCCCTATTGATAAGTAATATTGCATAATACTTGGCTAAAATTACTTAATACTTGCATCTATTAGTTATTAAGGTTGCAATTACAATAGCCTAATAAGTTTAATAAAGAGATTTATTCTAAAACTTGAAATGTTATTTCCTACCTTTTCACCTTTAGTTTTGTAAGTTTATTACCATTATTCTTTTAGTTGGTGTGGTTTTTGTAACAGTAGGCCTACAAAATTTCCAATGGTTTGACAGTGGATAAAGTAAAAATAAATTTTGAAATAAAGAAAATTAATTTTTTTAATCTTGTATGTTAATTGTAAACAAACATTCTGTCAAAATACTCAAAATATGTTAAAAATGAAGTACAAATAGGCCTACAAGTAGTCTACCTTACTGATAAACAAAACAATTGTAGATTGAAAATTGTACTGAATAATGTAATAGGCTCATACAATAGTAGTTATAGAAATCAAATGAAACCTAGACTTAGGCCTAACTCACTATAATCAATTGTATTCCATGCACATTAACCACATTAATGCAAGTTGTCATGAAGGAAAACAAACTATGTAATCTAGAAGGCCAAGTGCTAGCACTTAATTATTTTGAGATATTTGTAAGCTTTTTTTAGGAGTGCTACTATTGTCCTCATGAATGATTTCATACTTATTTATGAGTTATCTAATGTTTTACAAGTTTACAGAATAATTATTTTCAACCACGGTAGCATCAATTTATAATTATCAACTTCTGTTAAGAAGGCCAATGACCCAAAACATCATGATTGTGCAATGTTGTATTTTGACATAAAAATGTAAATCATGGTATTAACTCTAATTTGAATATTTCTCCTGGTCCCTTGCAGATTGTATTTTCAATGCTAAATAATTAATTGTGGTCAATTCAAATTATATTTTTGATGATTCAAATCTCCTATACAAAAAGACAAAAGTCAAACCAGACAAGGAAAAAACCTGCTATTGTAATCCCCCTGCCCCTACCCAGCCATTTCGGAAGTGGTGAAAGTCTAGTCTGGTCTAAATATAGCTCCAAGGTCTTACCCTCCCCTTCCCCCCAACCCCCTACACCATTCACTGTTGCCGACTTGCCGGCTGCCGGGCTGCCGGCTCAGTTCGAGGTCATTGCACAACCCCTCCCTCCTTCTATTGTTTTGCCTTTTGTAGTGTTTCTATTCTTTTTAAAACTTAACTGACTTTTTTAAACATAGATTTATTGCTTGTAACAGTTCAGTAGTGGAATTTTCTATTGTGAAACAGTACTTTAAAACAAAATCACTACCGATCATGTCATTCAGTGTCAAGTCCAGATTATGCCATTGCCAGTCAGTCCGGCGACTGCTTTGAGTTGACCTATTCTGTTGTGACAGCTATAAAAATAGGTTAGGACAACTACCTCTTGCTTATTTCTACACTGTAGAAATATTTGTATTACTGTAGAATCTATAGTAATACAAATTATAAAGCATTTTATGTAAACACAACTTACATTTTAACAAATATTGATTTTTTACAATTTTAAACCAAACTCTACTCGAATCTGCCGAGTTCAAAGATAAGCTCGAGTTTCAAGGCCGTACTCGACTCGAACTCGTAATCTCGAGTACTCGCACATCTCTAGTAAGTGGTGATCGATTTCGATTGGACACTCCAATCATCATCAGACCCAATAGGCGAATATTTAATAACACGTACAATGCTGATCAAGAAGTTATTTATAATATAGTTTTGTAGTTACTCCACCAGACAACACAATGCTGCAGTGTTGCTGCTCTACATCAACACCACTCAACACTATATCAGGCTTGGGACAAGCGTCATCTGACCTGATCACCGTCTCTCCATCCTGACAATACAATACAATATGTAGGCACTTATAAAGCATATTAAAGAAGCTAAGAGCAACTCAATAATTCAACCATTTTCGAGCGTGCTGGTCTAGTGGTAGAGCTTGTGGCTTTGGACCCCGAGGTCCATGGTTTAAATCCTGCCAACCACTAATGGATTTTATCCATAAATGATAATGTTGCAACCCTCTAGGACTAACCTGAAGTAATATGTAAAACAGTTCTGGGATAGAACCTAGTGTCCTAGGATGTGAAAGTTGGATACGGGAAGAAAACCACTTTACTACTTTCCAGAAAAAACTTACAGACAATTACCTTTTACCCACCACAAGACCCTTTTACGCTGAAAAAGAATGCATCCAAACATGACTTTATAACAAAGCATATTGTCTATTGTCTATTTTCTAGTAATCTGATTCATTGTAATTTAATAATTTTGTAGGTCATGGATTTACACGATCAAGTTTATATGATTACGAGGTTCAAATAGTTACATTGTAATGTGAAGGGTTTACCTTCAGGTGGTAGAGCGTGACCCCGGTGCTGAGCAGATTGTCATCAATGCCTATCAGATGAGGCATATCAGAGTCCAGTACCACTCCAGTGCCAGCCTTACGCAGACCCAACGCCTTCTGCTCTTGTAAGATCTTCTGAGTCTCACGCCACTTCTCCGCCCACTTCTCTGTCAGTACCTTCTCTTGGGCTTCCTTCTTTTGCAAAGTGGCAAGCATCTCTGGAGATTCCACTGACTGCAAACAAGAAATGTTCAAATTTTAAATAAACTGTAACAACTCTAACATTAAATGAACTATCACATTGTTTTGTCTAAACAATAAAAAAGTTTACGACTCTTGAGAATAATAAATCTCCCACAAGAATAAAAAATCTTTCAAAATCTTTGTTGAGAATTAATAAAAGTCATATCCGATCATATCCGGTTGACAAATTATGACGTACAATTAAAGTAGGCCTAGTAGAGTTTCCTTTGCATAGCATACCCTCTATTTGTACTAATTATGGTTTTCTTTTATGTTTGTTGGTTTCTTGTTTTGTTTTGACTACTATACAGTTCTCTGGTAGGTTTCCTACTGTAATTTTCCAACATTGGCTGAGGTTGTGTACTAATCTGTTATGTGTTAGGCATTTTCTAATCTGAAGACAGGACCAGATTCAAGATATTAAAAAGTCATGAACATTTTGTTGTTAACTAATTCTGATGAAAAATGTCTGTAATAGTCTCATAACAAAGTAGTATACCCTCACTTATTTTTATCCTGTTGAATATATTTTACACTTACCATTTCATTGCACAATAGACCCCTCAGTTTTGCAATTTCATCTCGGAGGTCCTTGATTAGTTTTACGTTGGGATCTTCATTGATGGTTGGTTTGTTGATAATGTTTTTGGCTCTGTTTGCGTATCTCAAAGTGCTTAAAGTCTCACTGTAATTGCACTCTGCCGGTGAAATAGCTGTACAAAATTAATAATTTATTTAAATTGTTCAATATAGTACCCTTAAAATACAAATTTGGAGAAATTTGGACATATACAAAATACTTTTTTTAAGTCGAGGCTTAATAGGGCTGTAAGCAGTGGAGCCACATATGGTGCATGTCTGTGTTTCAGGAAGATTTTAAAAAATCAAAAAATGTTTAAACTCAAACCTATGTTTAAGAAAAAATATCCAAATGAATGTCAGAGTTTATTGTTTTAGTTGTTTAAGTTATTTATTTTTTTTTTTAGCACTGTGGCCCTATAGAGAGAATATGGAGGATGTTATAGCTCCTGGTAGATTTCAGTTGCAGAAGCTCAATATCTTAAAATCAATAACTGTTACATTTTTGGGAATTTTTTATATTCATGTTTGCTTTGTGAGATGAGAAAGTAGCAAAAATTGTTTATACAAAAAACTGTGTATATTATGAATATGACAAATAAAGTGAAAGGAATATAAATACCCCCGCCGCAGCAAACCTGTAGAACAAGTGAATCTCCATCTACCTGTCTGGCATTCCACTAAATCATTCCCTTAAAATTGTCAGATTTATTTCCTATTCAAATATCATTAATTTTAATCAGTACTTAGGTTTGCTGCTACAGGGAAGACAATAAGGTGTGGTTTTTATTGAATAGCTTAGTATGAAGTAAAAAAATTCCAAATTTCATAAAAATATGTCTATAGACAAGCATGCTACAACAGTTTATTTAATCTCCATAAGATAAACATGGTAATTTTAAATTTAAACTTCTTGAAATTTTTTCCGTAACCGATAGGGATACAAAAACGCTTCAATATACTAAATCAACTGTTTTTTTTTAGCTCTACAAAATGTTTGGGAAAAAATTGCAAAATTTTATATTTTTGGGGTGAAAAATGAAACTGTCATAAACTTTTTATTTTAGAATTATTATTATATATATTTTTAATATGTTTTGAATGGATAGTGATATTTTAACAAGTAATAGCAATTTCTACAACTGTAATTCAATATTTTCATTACTCACCCTAACTTAGAGACCTTTATATTATCAACTAAACTATCAGTTAACTTCTCCTGGCGGTTAAGAAAAACATAATGACTAAAAAAAATTATAAATCTACCATGTTATCTTCATAAAAGAGGTTTTTTTCATTAGGTACCTATGGCAGTGTGACTTCATCAAGTGTGTCTTAGGTTCCAAGATGATACAGCACTTAAGCCGTGAGAACTATAGGGATACAATTTATTTTATTTTTTTAATTTTTTTTTATTACAATGGTTTGTGTACTAAAAGAATGATTTCAAAGAGCTCTCAAAATAAATAATTTATAAATAAAAAAACTTATATAAACAAAACGTTTTTAAACGCCCTAAAAAGTAGAAAATAATTTACAAATAATTTATAAATATGTTGAGAGAGTATAAATACGTACGATTTAAAACGAAAAACGTTGGGTGCATGCAATTAATTGATAATAATACATTAGTTCAGTAGGTGAAGGTAATTGTAAACTATCTATTGCATGCACCCCACGTTTTTCGTTTTAAATAGGGATGGACGGGTCCCGAAATTTCGGGAATTTTTCGGGAAAAAAATATTCCCGATTATCGGGACGGGATTACATTTGACTCGGGAATTTTTCGGGACGGGATTTGGTCCGATCATCGGCGATTTTTCCGCTTCGCGAGTGCCGATAACGCCGTTACTGCGAGCGATAGGTCCGCGAACGCAGGAGACGAAGTGATACCGACGATCGCGCCGATGTGACGATGTGACCGCGAGTCATGACGACGATCGCACTGTGACCGCGGAGTCATGCTGACGATCGCGCCGTGACCGCGAGTCATGACGACGATCGCGCCGTGACCGCGAGTCATGACGACGATCGCGCCGTGACCGCAAATCATACCGACGATCGTGCCGTGACCGCGAGTCATGACGACGATCGCGATGTGACCGCGAGTCATGACGACGATCGCACTGTGACCGCGGAGTCATGCTGACGATCGAGCCGTGATCGCGAGTCATACCGACGAACGCGCCGTGATCGCGAGTCATGACAACGATCGTGCCGTGACCGCGGAGTCATACCGACGATCGCGCCGTGACCGCGGAGTCATGCTGCCGATCGAGCCGTCATCGCGAGTCATACCGACGATCGCGCCGTGACCGCGAGTCATACCGACGATCGCGATGTGACCGCGAGTCATGACGACGATCGCACTGTGACCGTGGAGTCATGCTGACGATCGCGCCGTGACCGCGAGTCATGACGACGATCGCGCCGTGACCGCGAGTCATGACGACGATCGCGCCGTGACCGCGAGTCATACCGACGATCGTGCCGTGACTGCGAGTCATGACGACGATCGCGATGTGACCGCGAGTCATGACAACGATCGCACTGTGACCGCGGAGTCATGCTGACGATCGAGCCGTGATCGCGAGTCATACCGACGATCATGCCGTGACCGCGAGTCATACCGACGATAACCCCATGACCGCGGAGTCATACCGACGATCGCGCCGTGACCGCGAGTCATACCGACGATCGCGCCGTGACCGTGAGTCATACAGACGATCACCCCGTGACCCGCGAGTCACAAGTTACTATAGGTACCTGTAAATTGTTACCAAATTTTGGTTTTTATAGATCAGTGCCACAAATAGTGAAAATTGATTTCATATGTCTTTTTTTGGTAACTGCAATACAGTACTTTCTTTTTATGCACAGAAAAAAATCCCGTCCCGTCCCGTCCCGAAAATCGGGAAGGAAATAAAAATCCCGTCCCGTACCGTCCCGAACTAAAAATTCAATCCCGTCCATCCCTAGTTTTAAATCGTACAAGTATTTATACCCTCTCAACATATTTATAAATTATTTGTAAATTATTTTCTACTTTTTAGGGCGTTTAAAAACGTTTTGTTTAGCCTATAAAAGTTTTTTTATTTATAAATTATTTTATACTTTTTAGTTTTAATGTGTGTGCATGTTTAATCTATTTCAAGCGTCTATATCAGATTAAGACAGAGGCATGTGGGAAATCTAAGGTTTATTTGAGTTTCTTTGCATATAATTATGTATTAGATTGCATGTATGGCCTACCTACTAACTATAAATATATCAATCTATTTTATTTATTGTTTACTTTATAGAATACTAAATAAATAACAAATGACATTATTAACAAACTCCTTTATATCTGCAATCAGATTGTTTATCTTTATTTTGAAATGTTTGTTTGTATAAAGAATCTCTTGGGAGCAGAACCTGTACCTCTTAACCTCTGCTTTTTGAACTGTCAAATTTAAGTATTTACAGCTGACTTAAATTAGTTGATATATTTACATCCTTTCAAAATGTAAACATGAAAAATTTGGAAGCCCATGGGGCGTAGCCCAAGGGAAATATGAAAATTAAATTATATAATATCGCATTGTCATGTATTTGTGAGCTATGTTTTAAATTTCAAGTCTCTAGCTTATCGGTTACATCGTTTAAAATTAGGGATGGACGGGATTGAATTTTTAGTTCGGGACGGGACGGGACGGGATTTTTATTTCCTTCCCGATTTTCGGGACGGGACGGGACGGGATTTTTTTCTGTGCATAAAAAGAAAGTACTGTATTGCAGTTACCAAAAAAGACATACGAAATCAATTTTTACCATTTGTGGCACTGATCTATAAAAACCAAAAAATGGGTAACAATTTACAGGTACCTATAGAAACTTGTGACTCGCGGGTCACGAGGTGATTGTCTGTATGACTCACGGTCATGGCGCGATCGTCGTCATGACTCGCGGTCACGGCGCGATCGTCGGTATGACTTCGCGGTCACGGGGTTATCGTCAGTATGACTCCACGGTCACGGCGCGATCGTCGTCATGACTCGCGGTCACGGCACGATCGTCGGTATGACTCGCGGTCACGGCGCGATCGTCGGTATGACTCGCGGTCACGGCGCGATCGTCGGTATGACTCGCGGTCACGGCGCGATCGTCGGTATGACTCGCGGTCACGGCGCGGTCGTCGGTAGGACTCCGCGGTCACGGCGTAATCGTCGAAATGACTTCGTCTCCTGCGTTCGCGGCCTATCGCTCGCAATAACGGCGTTATCGGCACTCGCGAAGCGGAAAAATCGCCGACGATCGGACCAAATCCCGTCCCGAAAAATTCCCGAGTCAAATGTAATCCCGTCCCGATAATCGGGAATATTTTTTTCCCGAAAAATTCCCGAAATTTCGGGACCCGTCCATCCCTATTTAAAATTGATATCAAAATTTGTAGGAAAGCGAGCTAATAAAAACAAGCCCATGGGGTGTAGCCCGAAAGGAAATATGAAAATTAAATGATATAATATTGCAATGTCATCCATTTGTGAGCTATGTTTCAAATTTCAAGTCTCTAGCTCATCGGGAAGTATCAAAATTTGCAAGAAATCGATTTAATAAAAACAAGCCCATGGGGCTTAGCCCAAGGGAAATATGAAAATTAAATTGTATAATATTGCATTGTCTTCCATTTGTGAGATATGTTTCAAGTTTCAAGTCCCTAGCTCATCGGGAAGTTAGTATAAAATCGGTTGCAAAATTTGTAGCGGACAAGAAAGCGACCTAATAAAAACGTTTTAAAAAATATATTTACCTGCTATCATTATGGTCTTGGAGTTTCCACCCAAACTGTCCTTCAGTAGCCATGTGAGCACAGAGTCTCTGTAAGGTATGAAGGAAGACTTGCGACCACCGTCAGGAGTGGACAGTTCTGACAAGGCTGATATGACAGAGCCTAGAGTCACCAGAGACTTGTTGATATGAGCTCCTTCCTTTAGCCGCTGACCTGTTGCCCCCGTCGCATCAGCTCGCTCACTAAACACCATACAACAAAGTCACATTAGACTTGCGGCCACCAGAGACTTGTTGATATGAGCTCCCTCCTTGAGCCCCTGACCTGTTGCCCCCGTCCCATCAGCTCGCTCACTGAACACCATACAACAAAGTCACATTAGACTTGCAGCCACCAGACTTGTTGATAAGAGCTCCCTCCTTGAGCCCCTGACCTGTTGCCCCCGTCCCATCAGCTCGCTCACTGAACACCATACAACAAAGTCACATTAGACTTGCAGCCACCAGACTTGTTGATAAGAGCTCCCTCCTTGAGCCCCTGACCTGTTGCCCCCGTCCCATCAGCTCGCTCACTGAACACCATACAACAAAGTCACATTAGACTTGCGGCCACCAGACTTGTTGATAAGAGCTCCCTCCTTGAGCCCCTGACCTGTTGCCCCCGTCCCATCAGCTCGCTCACTGAACACCATACAACAAAGTCACATTAGACTTGCAGCCACCAGACTTGTTGATATGAGCTCCCTCCTTGAGCCCCTGACCTGTTGCCCCCGTCCCATCAGCTCGCTCACTAAACACCATACAACAAAGTCATATTAGACTTGCAGCCACCAGACTTGTTGATATGAGCTCCCTCCTTGAGCCCCTGACCTGTCGCCCCCGTCGTATCAGCTCACTCACTGAACACCATACAACAAAGTCATATTAGACTTGCAGCCACCAGAGACTTGTTGATATGAGCTCCCTCCTTGAGCCCCTGACCTGTTGCCCCCGTCCCATCAGCTCACTCACTGAACACCATACAACAAAGTCATATTAGACTTGCAGCCACCAGAGACTTGTTGATATGAGCTCCCTCCTTGAGCCCCTGACCTGTCGCCCCCGTCGCATCAGCTCACTCACTGAACACCATACAACAAAGTCATATTAGACTTGCAGCCACCAGACTTGTTGATAAGAGCTCCCTCCTTGAGCCCCTGACCTGTTGCCCCCGTCCCATCAGCTCGCTCACTGAACACCATACAACAAAGTCATATTAGACTTGCAGCCACCAGAGACTTGTTGATATGAGCTCCCTCCTTGAGCCCCTGACCTGTCGCCCCCGTCGTATCAGCTCACTCACTGAACACCATACAACAAAGTCATATTAGACTTGCAGCCACCAGAGACTTGTTGATATGAGCTCCCTCCTTGAGCCCCTGACCTGTTGCCCCCGTCCCATCAGCTCACTCACTGAACACCATACAACAAAGTCACATTAGACTTGCAGCCACCAGACTTGTTGATATGAGCTCCCTCCTTGAGCCCCTGACCTGTTGCCCCCGTCCCATCAGCTCCCTCACTGAACACCATACAACAAAGTCACATTAGACTTGCAGCCACCAGACTTGTTGATATGAGCTCCCTCCTTGAGCCCCTGACCTGTCGCCCCCGTCCCATCAGCTCCCTCACTGAACACCATACAACAAAGTCACATGCGACTTGTGGCCATCTGAGACTTTTTGATAAGAGCTCCTTCCTTGTTTTAGTGATGCTTGCTACTACAGATATTTTTTTTAAATACTCATAGTGGGCTATTACAGCTTATTGGTTGGGGTTGGACAATTTTTTTGAATTTTTTGTTCCGTTAAGAGAGTAGAATAACTGGTAAAAATTAGCGCAGTTAGTAGAAAACCACCCTGTATTATATTAACTACAAATTCTGTACAATTTCTACAATATTACTTTTTTGTTTATAAATGTATAATGTGTTATTAAAAGTATTGTAGCAAAAATTGTTATATTTGAACTTATTACTCGGTCATTTCAGGTAATGAAAATAATTATATAAAAAGGGATAATGACTAATGAGACGCTTCTTCCTGAGTACTTAAAAGTGAACCCATTTTCAACCAACACAAGTAGACGTCTCCATTGTAAAATCTGAAACTTACTTCTGAGTGTTAACCATATCTTGTTTATGTTGACACTGGCTGCTATAGTCAAAGTAATTTTCCTTCTATTATTTTAGAGTTAATTTTGTGATTTGTGCTTTAGTTTTCGGTTATATAGCGGGGTGCGAGATATTGATATTTTTAGTACGTTTTATTTGGTTAAACAAGGTATTAAATAACTGAGTCTTCTTTATAGGAGCCTCATTTTTATTTATATACAAAATTCAAATATTTTTATTTTGTGTTGTCTATATGAATGAGATTTGTATTGAGACTACTCATCCACTGTATGTACAGGTAAGCCTGTTTTACCATCAAAAACAAAAACAAAGCTATACTGGCCTAGAGCTCTTTACCAAAAAGAATATCTTCCTCAGCTCTAATATAAAATTAGCTTACCTGCCCGCCAAGTCAACAAGGTGCACTTTAGAGACTGTCTCACTAGGCACGTCGTTAGAGAAGCCAGCCTGGACAAACTGTAGGGTGAAGATAGCATGGCTGCGGCTGCTGGTGTCATTCATGTTGGTAGAGGCTGTGGTGCGAATGGCGTTGCCTCTGGCCATCAGTTCCTACAACACGTACAACTTTAAACTCCTCTAGTTGAATTTTGTTCAGCTATTCTAACATCTTCTGCAGTCACAGCAAAATTGAGAACATCTCCGCGAACAGGGTGAAATTGTGAAGACTTATGCGGCCATGGCATCATAATCATTGTCTTCCACAATCGTAGCAAAATGCTAACAACACCCGCGATCGTGGGGAAATCGTCAGTTTATTATCGCACACTTTCAGAGACGCTATCTGTGATCGCGAAAATAGAAGCTCGTCTAAACCCTCGCCCTGATTCACGCTTGGTCCGAAAATTATATCCAGCCCTAACTGACCCCTCAGGCCAACTGTTGGTCCGACCTGAACCAAACATATCAAACCCTTATCATTAGTATGTCTTAGGTTAAAATAAAAGAGGGGTAGTAATTTTGTCTATTTATAACCGAAAACCCATTAAACAAAAACTGAAGAAAAACGAACCAATAAAAATTGTAACCAACACATCACTAATAGAAACATCGGCCCTATTGTTGTGAAGGTCCAGCGCTCTTTTGGTCCCAACTGCCTTTTTGGCTATAAAAAGTCAGTGTATATAACAGATATCAGTAATTGACATCAGCACACTCTGTTGGGGCTCAATTAAAATATGTCAATTTTCAGTCCACAACTAGTGATGATCTTAACATAGGAATGGAATGGACCTACCTGAATGTGAGAGTACTCTGACACTAGATGGCGTGAAAGGTCGCTGACGTACGGCCCAGTCCTAGGATGTTCTCTCACTCTCAGGTTGTGGCCAGATGAGTTGACCCTCAACAGATCTTTGACTCTCTCATTGTATATTTCCAGGTAGCTGACTTCAGTTCTGTAGCTGGCACCAGTGGCCATGTGTCGGAACAAGGACTCACATATCCGAGGAATCAATCCTTGGTTGTCCTGAGAAATGTCAACAACTAATTAGGCTATGCCAATATTTTTATTAGTAATGAAGCTTAACCTATACTATTATAAAGAAGAGATGTGTGTGTGTGAGTAGCGCCATAGATAAAACATACTCCCCCAAGTAGATTTCTCATCCTTATGGAACATTTTATTCATGTTGAAGCCTTCCGGAATTGGTAATCAATTATAACAGGTTACGTACCTTGACGTCCACAATTCCTCTGTCAAACTTCTGTTGACTATTTTCGACTACTGAGAAGTCATTTTCGAAACAGAACGTTAAAATATTTCATTCATTGAATGTCGTCAAATCTTCTTAAATACATTGAACACAAACACACCACGAACACGGTAGACATTTAACATAGTTGGCCGGCTGGCGCACGTCACTGAACTGGTCGACGATGACTGTTTACCCCACTCCATTCCGTTTATCAGCTGTGCCTCCAGGACTCATGTTGCCAACATAATTGTTACCAAAGTAATCTAAAACTGTGTTGAATAATTTATTTGAGCCATAATTAAGTTTTTCATTAAGTATGTTGTACGGGTCGGATTTAGTGGCTTTATATATCTCAAATTCTTCGAGTGTGTCTAGCATGAAGCCTTTCTTACAAACTTGTAGAATTTCTGCATTCTCATTAAAGCTATCAATAGTATGGTTTGAATTTAATAAATGTTCAGCAAACATGGATTTTTGTTCTGTATGTTTTGGTTTAGGCAAATGTTCGGAAAAACGTTTCTTAAATGATCTGCCGGTCTGACCTATGTAATAGTTTGGGCAGTCTGAACATTTAATTTTATATGTACCAGTAGCTAATTCATTAGGTTTATTGTTGTTCGGCAGTCTTTTATTTAGTTTCGCCCCAAGTTTGTTTAATGTTCTATAGGTCAGGGTTAAGCCGTGAGGGTTCAATTCTTTCCAGAGACAAAACGTTTGTTAGCTGTTGAAGTATTGTTAGAAGAGGGTTTTCGGCTTTGTTTATTAACCATCCTAACGACAATGGAACTTCAATAACCATTTGCGACAGCGATATATTTGATTATATTTATTTCTTTTTGGTAATCCTCGTCGGATAGTGGCATAGATAGTAGACGATGAACCATACTGTTATAAGCAGCCATTTTGTGGGTTTCAGGGTGGTATGAAGTATATTGGGTAGTATGGTCGGTTGCTGTAGGCTTTCTGTAAATATTGTAGTGGAGTTTGCCAAAAAGTAAATGTAAACTGAAAACGAATTGACTTTACAACTGAATTAATCGTAGCAAAACTGAAAATATTTGCAGGCTTATATGTTTTATTTTTTTAACCTTATGAACAAATCAAACACCTCGAGCCATGCTCGGTCCCCTGGTACAATAGATAGATATATTTTTTCTTTTACATTAATAAAACAAAACAATCATTTTTTTCACACTACAGTACACTTAGCTGAAAGATTTGTTTTACTTAACAATTGACTTTGAATATTGATATTTTAGAAAAATAAATTAACTTATAGGCTAAGTAAGCGTATCTTTTAAACATAAAATCATATAGGCCTACATACAATATTTTCATAGGTGCATCACTTTTGTATTATCTCAGGTAGCCTAAATAAGTGTTCACTGCCTGAGTTAACAAAAATCAAACGTTCAATGAGAAAAGTGGAACAGTTGAATTTTGTTTCTAAATTAAATGGAGGATGTGAAACCATTTTTTACGGGATTTTCAAAGAACCATCATTGTCCCTTCCGCATCCTGTGCAAGGCACAGGTAAAGCGGCTAGTAAAAAATAAAATACTTGTTTTAATGGTATATTTTTTAACGTTTTGAATCAAATTATTTGGGATTAGTTTTTATAAGAAAATTTGAATACTACAATAATTGGTACAGAGGAACACCTTAAAGAACAGGGAACTAGTGAAAATTAAATAATTAAAAAACTCAAATTATATTGGTTTATTAACAAATTATATTGGTGCTAGGAAATTTAAAAGCCACACGTGGTAGCTAAAGAGCAGGTGAGAAAGTGACTTGTTGTGTTACCAATGTAAAGGATGGTGAGGAAGTAGGGTCAGAAAAGGTAATAACCTAAACTGGGCTATGCGATTAATTATTCTTAATGTTTAAAACTAGTAAAATACTAGTTGTTTCCAGTTAATAATATTTACTATATTTAAATATCGTTAAAACATATTTTATTATTTATTTTGTCACAAAGTTCATTCTTTGGTGAAAGTATTGCATGATTTTTTGTCCTTTTTAAAGCATCTTCAGAGAATCCTTAACTGAAGATTTTGTCAATAATATTTGAATTCACAATACATTGGGGCGGAAGACGTATCACCAAAGATACCACCAAGCACCGGAGACTCACCAAGACACCAAGATCATTATGGTAGCTCTCTTGGCCATTATCTCTATTCATAAAAGATATTTAGCAAATGGCAAATATTGATTCGCTTGGATTGGCTCTCATGTTTTTTGCAAGTAAAATCGGTTTATACATTGGCCATAAAGGTGATCTAATTATTGAATTTTCTACTATTGCACAGCGACTCGTGACAGGTACTATGGGAGCACATTGCCGAAAATCACCTCCCAAAACAATCACCTTTCCACCAAAAGGCTTTTCTTGGTCTTCTCTTCTGGCAATATCTCGCAGTAATCTTTCTACAGACGATAAAGCTTACTTAAATGAGCTTCATCCCATAATATTTCTTTACAATTCCTGATATAAATCTCCCTAACACTCTGAATGCAACTGCACAAATAAACTATCCCATTTCATCAGTCATCCTTGTATTGGAAAGTTAACTGATAAATAAACAGAGAAAGTAAATATTTAAATGACATAAGGGAAAGAGGTTATTTTTATCAAGACAGATTTTTTTTTAAGAAATGAATCATATGTTTGATAAACTTAACTAAATTTTCACCTATATTTAAAAATACATGGCAATTTTTAAGTCCAATGGGGCAAAGCACATTGAACTGAGCGTGACAAAAATTATTCCATGACTTCTGCAGATAATTCCCTTTAATTTGACACATCAATCATCAAAATCGGTTAATAAATAAAAGAGTTTTGCTGTGCACAAGAAATTCCTTACGGAATTAGTATAATAGAAGATTTTGAGTTTAATTTAGACACAATCTTTCTTTTAAGAATAATGATCTTCAGACTCAATCAAGAGCTTTTGTGACTTGGAAAATATGTCATTTAGGCCTATACCAAAAACAAAAATCTTTTCCAATTTGGTTTTAAACCTAAATCATCCTTAAAACTTTACTAAACACAAATTCACACAATCATAATCCTAAATAGTTCCTTAGAAATGTTATAAATATTGTAACAGTTAGTCAAGGGGATTTCCATTCAAAAGGCCAAACAAACATTTTGTTATCATTAGTTTGAATTTTAAATATATAAACAAGAATTCTAGGTCACTAGTTAAGGCCAAAACAGGTTTACATCAAGGTTATGATGATAATAGAGGGCCTGGAAGTGAAACCAGTTTGGGTGACATCAGCATAGTTGGCTGACCTCACCAATAGCTGACTGACCCGGTAAAACCCGCTATCTGGACTGGTAATGAAGAGTGGAAGGATACTACAATACCATAGTGCATGTTTGTAGTACAATGATTAGTAGAAATCATGTTTTATCAATTAAGTGAAAATACCAACAACTATGCACACGCTCAACAGCAGCACACAAAATTATTGCAACCCATGAAATAAGTAGTTCATTACAATTTAAATTTAACATATATTACAATGTTTAGATGGTATTGTCAAATTATAAATTACAAACATTAATTTTGTAAAACATTTCCCTCAGAAGGCTTTACTAAAAAAAAACTAAAGCTGTTATTGGGTCATAGTTAAGAATAGTTCAGAACCACAATCCTTACATAAATCGTTATTACAGTATTCGCTACAAGTTAATTAAAAGTAGCCCTGACTATTTTTTAAAGTTTCAATTTAATAGATTTGTTGACAGTAAGCTTTGTTAAAGCATCCTGTTATGTTTAGAAATTTCAATAAAATATATTCTGGCACAAGTGTAGCTTGCTTGATACACTCTATTAATGATGATTCATAAACTTTTATCCATGAACACACACATGTAGTATGATGACTCATCAGTTAAATACACCTTAAGAGATAAAATGCTAACATTATGTAGGAAAAAATGTGTTAATTAATCATTGTGTTATCTTTGGAGTTTAATTGATTAGTTGCAATAAAATCAATGATATCCAATTATTTTGAATATGAATACCATAAAAATTACTAAAACAATGAAAACCAATGTAAGTGTTACCTTGATCTTCTCCACTGCTAGGGCAACACATTCTTTAACAATTGACTTAATGATTAACCTTAAATGGAACTCTTTTTGGGGCTTCCAAAAGGTGATCTATATAAAACTTAAAATTATTACAAATTAAATTAGGGTTTCTGTATGATATTTAAAATATTAAAATATTATGTTTGAAAACTATTTATTTGTGAGAACATCTTGGAAGTTTTTTTGCTTGAGAGGATTACTGTTTGTTACCGGTACTCACAGGGGATCCAGTCATTGTGAAAGTTTTCCCACTGCCAGTCTGTCCATAAGCGAACACACAGGCATTGTAGCCCTCAAACGCTGCATCCACCACATCCTTGCCTAGGTCTCTAAACACCTGCAACACAGTAGTTAAAACTCATTGAAACTAAAAAACTGATGACAATGACGTCAAACAATACGAACGTACGTATAAGAAAACATATAAATAACTTCTTAATTATTTGGGTAGTAAAACCGTACCAGACTTTAAGTTAATAGAAATATTTTCTTTATAAATATGTAAGGAAAATAGTTACTATTTCTATTTAGTTCATTAATTTCTAACGTAATTATTCCTTATGAAAGCCAATGTAAACACAAATGATAACAATAAATAAATAATGAATAATAAATCTTTATTTCTCCACAAGTAATAGGGCTACAATATATTTAAAATATAATTAATAGGGTCTAAAACACAAATTATTGCTAAGTTAACAATGTATAGTTATGATAACTTATATCACTTTTGTTAATTAACAAAAACAATTTGCTTTAAACTTGTGAAAAATTATACACACCCAAGAGAAGAACTAAACTTTTGTGTGGGTGGGGTCTCAATTAAAGCTTACAACAACCAAACTCCTCTGAAAAGGATATCAAAATGAATTGTGAATTTGACCTGTAGTCTAATTATTGTTGTGGAAAAGACAACAAAGAAGGCATTATTTTTAATATCTTGGCAAAAGAATAACAATATCTAGGAAGAAAAAAGAAATATATATTTTCTTGTAATCGTTTTCCATGAAATAATGTAGACTAAAAGAATAGAAAAGATGAACTTACTTTCCTCTTGCTCTTAATTTACTTTTCCTGGCTCCACACTATAGTATTTCTAAATTTTTTCACAAGTGTGCTTATAGTTGTTTACAATTTATTTTTGCATTAGTCAATCATATTTTTAACGAATAAACAATACAAACAGAAATAGTCATTGACTGTTTTGCCTTATGATGAAATGTATTGTTCATAACTCATATCAAAATAGCTCATAAACACTTTCTCAAATTATTCCTGTATTCAGATTTGCCTTTAAAAGAATGTGAGTCTTGCATTCAAGTTGTGTGTTGCGCTTGAAATGTAAGCAATTATTTTGTTGTCTCTGGCTTCTTTAATTAATAATATAAAGAAATTGATTTTTATTAAGATTGTAGATAAAATCATCTTTTTATTCCATTCTTCAAACACTGAATTCATTTAAAATATAGTGTAGGCATAACTAAATTGTATTGATCAAGTAATTCAATTAGAGACTTATTATCAAATCCAATAAAACAGACATTATCATTTTCACATTTTTCATAAACTATTTTATAATCATAGTCTAACTCGAAAATAAGTTCACTTTTCAAGATTTTTGTTAATGTCTGGCGACCAAAATTACATATATTTTTTTCTTTTTTATTTAAATATATTCAGTCTTATTAATGACTCAAGAAGAGAATGGAAATGTATTGTTAACAAATTTGCCTATGGCACAATACAATTTTAAACCACAAGCTATTCAATTTGCAGTTTGAATGGCATACTTCCAGTTTGTTACATTTTCAACCATAGCTTGGGTATGTTACACAGCATGTGTTCGTTGTCATTGTTCTGTGTGCATTACGCACATGATCTTTGTTTTGTCAGCTGTTTACTTCTATTCAATATGGCTGATATCCACTGAGTTAGAGATACAACTGTATGTAGCACTGAGTGAGATAATTGAGAAGTTGGTCGCCATATGTACTAGGGGCATAGAGTATTGTAGACATTAAACTTAGTACATTGGAACTAGGGGCTGATTAGGGATTGTGGTGTTGTAATAGAGCCATGAGACAATGAGCTGATTGATTCTTTTACTTGGTAAAAACATAAAACATGTTTACAGTGTTGATTTTTTAGTAGTCGTCGTGCCAGTGCTACATCCATTTCCCTTCTATCTCAGTGCTGATTTAGTGTGAGTTTTAAAAATCTTCCCAGAGGAAAAGATTTTTCAAATTGCAATAATTTCCTTTTTTAAATCAATTGAACACAAAATTCAGTTTTCAGTTAAAGATTACGCTCATTGATGAGTTGATTTTGTCAACAAAATGTATGACTTATTTTGTCTCTCGCAAAAATGGCTACAGTTTGATATGATCTACAATCACAGAGTATACAGTACCGAAATTTAACATTACCACTTCTTCCATATAGGTTTAATAACCCAAATGAGTTTTTTTTTTTTTTTTAGTTTAAGAAATTACAGGAGGTACCTAGTTGGTTTTGTGATTCTTGCCAATATACAGGTATCCTTGTCAGTTTTATGCAAATTTTTGTCCAGTATTTTAACAGTTTTTGGCTACAATGAAGTAAAACCTAAATCATGCATCATAATTGATTCTCTTTCAATTTATTAGTTTTTTTTTTAAGTAACATATTTTAAAACTGTTTTTGCATGCAGCAATCAGTGTGACTGACCTGCTCCTGTGAGGCAAAGTGAGGATCACCCTCGTCAAATGACCAGTACGAGTGGTCGAATGTGAAGTCCTTGAACTGGTCTGGGCTCTGCAACAAAGTAATGGTACATTACAAATTTATATGGTGATCTCGACGTTACAGGAAGAAAATATGACGAGAAAACCATGAGAACAAAAAATCTAATCTAAATAGCATTGATCTTGTTGAAGCTGATTTAACTTGCCTGCAAGCAAATTGAACCAATTAAATTAATGCCAAAGGTGTTGGAGCGTTCCATTACTGATGAGCGAAATATCAGCTGTAAAATGTAATTGGCTTGCAAGGAGACCAATTAGGGGAATTACTTTCATTTGAAACTTTCAGTAGTCTTGTTAATATTATGATTAAAATCATTTCTGGCTTTCTACACTATGGTGCGAGTTCAAGTAACTGTACTATTCTAGAGATACTCTTAGCAAATATAAAAGTAGTGTTCAGATGTAATTAGATAAAGTAAAATTTAAATATACAATCTTAAATAGCAGCATATCAAATTAAAGGTCAAAGTGATACAGAGTTTGGTATCAAATTAAAGGTCTCTGTTAGTAAAACACAATACCGCAAACACAAACTCTAACTGACAACCATGTCAAAAATGGCAGCCGTTGAAATATTTCTTGAATCTGTCATTTTGAATCTTTGAACGGATACCATTTTATACCCAGCTGTTATTGATGAATACCTACTAACCTTTAATGTGATGTGCATATCAACCATATGCTTACGTTTATGATATTCTTTTGACTTCTAGCGCGTGCAAATACAAGGAATCTTTGAACTGCTGTCATTTTTTACTCGGTTGTCCGTTTGAGTTCGGGTTTGCATCATTGTGTTTTACTAACGGAATTTCGTCTGACTCCTTATATAGCATTAACCAATCAAACACACATACAATTATTAAACTTAGCCCTACACTTAGTGTAGTATGTTGGCTGTTTTACTGTAATGTTGTTGGGGGGGGGGGGGGGGAGCCGTCCCCCTTAAGAGGTAAAAAAGTAATTATAGCTTGAATGAGTAGACATTTATGGTTGTTATTGATATACCAAGGTTTATTACTTTATCTTGAATGGTAAAATATATTAAACACCATTCCGGGACTTTTCAATCACACTGTATCTTTATACCTTTAGTTTAGGAAGTTTAGGAAGGATCCGACCTTTTGAGAAAACCATAAGCCGAACACCTATCAACAGCATTATTGAATGAAAGGTCGTGATTTGAAACTAACCTGTAAATTATCAGTTTTTCGATAAACTCTCCTCTAAGGACAGGAACCTAAATAAAGGACTGTATTTAATCACATTTAAAATATTGAAGATACAGTACATCATCTATTAGATTTGTTTTGTTTTAGTTTGTTTACTTTTCCTTGAGTTAACCTATTGATTCTACGATAGATTTGTCTATTGCATCCAAGAGAAGTGACAGTAAGTTTTTCTTAGAATGTGGGATAAAGTTGAAATCTTTGGATTATGTTTTAACTGTTCACTTCTTAGTTCAGTATTATATTTTTTTATACAGAAATTGATGTTGTTTACAAATATTGTGTATACAATTTAAGTTACACAAGAACCATAGAGTTTGGACGGAATCCGTATGTGTTGCAAGTGGGAAAAAAATATCTGTAGAGTATTTTTCCTTGTGACATGGGCATTGATAAAATTAATTGACATCAAGAACAAACGCTTAATCAACCGGCAGTTTGCTTTGGACAAGGGTGTGAAGAATCGTCTTCTCAATTTCCTCACCCCGAGGCGAGGCACGGGCAGATCAACTAGTCTCAAACCCAATTCTTACGTTTTAAATCAGTAAAATTAAACACAATGTCAATCTAATTCAATATGTTAAATAAACAACTGTAACACACTAGTTTATTTTTTATTTTGCAAAATATGTTTTACTTAAGAATTCTTAAAGTAAAATTTTCTACTGATTTAGTTGACTAAAACTCTGTATGTATATGTCTTAGACTCATGAAGACCCAAAAAGCTTAATTTTTTTATTAATTAAACAGCTAAAATTTCAAAGGAAATTTGAAAACATGTTACTAAAGAGTTTGTTTCATTGTGGTTTTTCGTGATCTATCAAAATTTCATTGGAGACCTATTACTTTAAGTGGGAGTTCATAATATTTATAATCTATTCTATATATAATTCAGTTTTAAAAATCTTTGTACAACTAAATCTAGAGTTCTACTGAACCGATTTTATTAATTAATGGGTCGTTGGAAAGCTTAAGCCGTGTAGATATGCAAATAATTATGAAAGTTTGTTTTTGTTATGATTTATGGTTAAAATTTTTGTTTAAACATGTTTTCCATAAGAAATACTTTGAAAACGGTGTTTTGCACACTTTTTATTTGGGTGCGACTTTTGGCTGCCTTTTTTAGTATTTCCAAGAAGTACATGGTATCAATTTGTAGGAAATTGTATGCTCTTTCAGAATATCACCTTCCACTTTGGTCGATTTCCTCACCATTCAAAAGTTATTTGCAAAAAAGCTAAGCAACCTCCGAATTTATAGTAATGAGAAAATATTGAGTTTGGGATATTTTTGTTAAACTTTGTACAACTAAATCTAAACTTCTACTGGACCGAATTTGTTAATTAATGGGTCATTGGAAAGCCTAACTCATATTGTAGATTTGCAAATAATTATAAAATTATGATTTTATTAAATATTTGTGGTGAAAAAGTAAAAATAACAAAAATACATTAAAAACTGCATTTTTCAAGTTTCTGTTTTTAAGATTCTATTTGTAGCTAGCTTTATTAAGTATTTTCAAGAAACGCATAGTAGTTATTTGTATTAAATTTTATTCTCTTTCAGAATATCACATCCACTTTCATCGATTTTCCCTTAATTTAAAAGTTATTGGCAATAAGCTAAGTGATCTCCAAATTTATAGTGGTGAGAAAATACTGAATTAGATATATTTTTGTTAAACTTTGTACAACTAAATCTAGACTTCTACCGGAACGATTTTGCTACTTAATGTGTCGTTGGAAAGACTAATTTGTGTAGATTTGCAAATAATTATGAAAGTTTGATTTTATTAGATATTTAAGGTGAAAAAATAAAAATAAACAATAGTACATAGTACATTTAAAACTCATTTTTTTCCAAGTTTATATTTCCAAGTTTATATTTTTAGCCAACTTTAGGCTGCCTTTATTGAGTATTTTCAAAAAATACATAATAGTAATTTGTAGGAAATTTTATTCTCTTTCAGAATATCACCTTCCACTTCGGTCGATTTCCTCACCGTTTCAAAGTTATTTGCAAAAACGTTAAGCAACCTCCCAATTTATAGTGGTGAGAAAATACTGAATTAAAGATGTTGTTGTTAAACGTTGTACAATTTAATCTACAGTTCTACTGTACCGATTTTATTAATTAATAGTCATTGGAAAGCCTAATTTGTGTAGATTTGTAAATAACTATAAAAGTTTGATTTTTTTAAGATTTACTAGGTGAAACCCGTCAAATTCGGCAGTTACTGTTGAGGTTGCAAGCAAGATCGTTTGACTATAAATCGATGATAAATAACTCTATTTTTTTAACAATTTGTGTTGTTCGTGATTTAGCTGCGTGCTTTAGGTACGTCCGATCTTAATAATCAATAAATCAAATGGAAGCTGGCATTTCACTGAAGGTTCTTAGGTCAAAACAATTAGAATAGCGTAATTAGAATGAAGTACCATATCCAAGATATAATCAAATTTATATTTTCTGATTGAGCGATACAGTATCTTGAACTTATCTGTTTAAAACCATCAATATCTCAAGTGAAAGCCTTTGAAGTATTTTAAGGCCAAGACATATAAAATAACTTAAATAAAAATAGAGTAACGTATCATTGATTGCAGATAAGTACTAAAACGATTGTAAATATTGTTGATTCGTGGTTCAGCAGTGTGCTTTGGGAAGTCCGATCTTAATAATCAATAGCTGAAATGAAAGCTGGTATTTCACTAAAGGTTTTTAGACCAAAACATATAGGGTAATGTAATTAGAACTGCTGGAATACATCTTTAATTGAAGTGAAAAATAAAAAAAAATTAAATTCTTTCGTCGAGAAATACATTAGATAAATTAATGATGATGCTTGATGACAAATATGTGCTTGCATAGCTTTATTTTAAAACCAAAATTATGAAAATCGGGCAGGTAGAAGAGCCAAACGAACTAAAAAAAAAAATTTAAAGAAATGTACAGGGAGGCAGTTTGTGTATAACTCGAAATATACGTCAAAATGAATGCCGATGCTTGATGGCAAATCTGAGGTACGTCCATACCTTTTAGTTTAAGGTCAAAATTATGAAAATCGGTCTGGTAGAAGAGCTAACCTGACTCGGAAAAGAAAAACCAATATTTTTTTTGGATGGCAATAATTGGTTTGCCAGTATGCTTATTCTAGTCATACGAAACATGTGTTAATAATTCAACAGCTCATTGTTATATTGTTATCTAATTGATTTTTCTTTGATTTATGTTGTTGTTAACAATTTGCATTTGTGTTTAAAGTGTGTTCCTTATGTTAAGTGTGTGATTCTAATGTTATGTGCTTAATCTGTACCATTAATATCAGTGAGTAAAGTGGTGTATGGATTTCATAACCATTATTTTACTAGAGACCGTTGTATTTAACCACAACGGGCACTGTTGCTAGTTTTATATAAAACTAATGTTTTAGTTTTTAAACATGCATAAAATTAGTTTCTGTTTACTTCTTAACAAAGTATTGGCAGCCATAATATTTGTTTGGTCTTAAAACACCAACACTTTAATATTTTCAAGGAACTTTTTGAAAATTCCTATCCAATGGTAGTTAAACGTATAAATAATATTTAAATAAAACTTAGGATTGAAGTATGATACAAAATTTTTTTTTTTTGTTAGCACCATCAGTAGCATTTCCAAAGAATGTAAAATGCTTGAAGGGAAAGCCCTCCAAATCAATCAAATTGTTGTGGGTGTATTGTGATAAACCTGTCCCTCTTGCACCGGAGTCTGATCTGGTCTCATGGTAGAGCTCAGGGCTTCGAAGCCAGAGGCCCTGGGTTCAAATACCGCCGATCACTAATGGATTTTATCTATGTGATAATGTCGCGACCCTCTAAAGTCCAAGAATCAATGATGATTTCAACAATCCAATGTTACTGTATTGTCTTTGAGAGTCAATGAAGGCAAGTAGAGGTAGGAATGAAGGTAAGGCACGTAACATGACACCATAGTGCAACATGAGCCAGAGAGACTAGGTGCAGGCTGATCATGGTACCGGTCGGTACTGTTACCTAACCTCAATGCAGCCAACATTTTTGATGTTTTATTTTCATTGTCAATTTTACTTTACTTTGCAAATTGGATATGTTGCACGTGATTAATAAAAATTTTTTTCAATTATGAGGCACTATTCCAAAACTGTAAACTAACATGAACTTATAAACATCATAAAAAGTTGTTAACAATTTGGCTACCTACTGAAATGTCTTAACACTCTCAGACTTCCTGATCCCCTTTGTGGATTTGTTCCATGCATCCAGAAAATCATTTCTCATATATTTTTCTAACCTTTTGTGAATTTCATTAAATCCTTGACACCTAACATCCACTCGAGCTGTAGTTTTGGAACAGTAATGGTACACTAATTTATATACAGTCTTTAACATATTACACAGGAATTATGGCTGGGTTCAAGTTTTTAGCTCAATTGATGCTTAAGTTATTGAAAGTTTAATAAAAATAACTTTTGACCCATTTTTAAATGCTTATAAAATAAGTTAGTCTCGATAAAAAAATCAACAAAAAGGGGGCAAGGAATTCTGAGATAGACCCTTTATAGTAACTTGAACTTTTTTTCAAGAATAGGTTCTTTATTGCTGGTTGTCTCTAAAGTTAACCATACCTTTTTTCCAAATTAAGAAACTTTACAAAAATGATTACACATAATAGGCTACGGCTACACACAATTATTAATAAAGTTGAAACTTTTAGTGTACTACATTTCAATTTCAATTTTCATGTACAAACATTGTAAATAATTGTTAACGATTTTTATCATCTAAAATATTGTTACAGAAATGTAATCTGTGTGTTTTTTTCAGTAGCCTAGTTTTAAATATACAACCTATTTTTATTTGATTCATTGATATATAGGCTACATACTTGAGAAAACTGTTCAAAACATGTTTAGTCTACATTATACTTCCATTGACAAAAACTGAGTCTATCACAGGTATCAAGTAACTGTCAACAAAAACAATATTCAACGGCCTTCAACCAACACATAGGCTATGTGGCCAAAGCTCAGTCGACCACTTAAAGAATACCTACAACTGTTCAAACTGTTCTAGCTGAAATAACTCCTTTAGCTTTACACAATCATTCAACCATGTAGGCTACAAGTATTGTTGTGGGCTAACATAAACAATGCTGGCTGTCAAATTGTAGCTTTTTCAGCTAGTTTTCTCATTATCAGATTAATTTTTACTATTAAATATTTTAAAATATAAGTTTCTTTTTAATTTCTAATAACAAATAAAAAGATAGAAAGTTAAACTGACACTCTAATCATAAATGTATATTTTCAGTAGCTACATGGGGGTCTTGAACTTACCTTGCTCATTATTCTGGTCTTTTTTCCTTCCATATTGATAATAAGTTTGGTGTTCATATCTTTCTCCCTAGAAACAATAAAATAATATAACTTGATATAATACCAGAATTATTTTCAGTCAAAAATGTAATGACTCTGAACTATCTTGGGTCCTCATTCTGAATAAATACTCATTCTAATAACACACTCAAATATGTAAGTCTGACAGCCATCTTACTGATCTAGAATTATTTTGACAAACCATAAGATAGTGTTAAGTAATTGTGTACCGTCAACTGGGGTGAAGATGACCACTGGGGTGAAGATGAACAAAAACTAAGAAATTGTTAAATTTTATTTCTATCTCAAACTAATAAACTTATTGTATAGGTAACAAATATTTTTTCTTGCATGCCCAAGCCTTGGGATTAGGGGTCTCAATCCCAGGCCTTCAATCCAATCCCCGGGATTTCGGGATTTCTCTTAGCCGATCCCGGGATCAATCCCAGGATTATATTATTTTAACTTTTTTGCCATTTTAAAAGAGCGTGAAGTCCCTTGTTGAGTCCTTAATGTTTTAAACTGGCCTTACCAATGTTACACTGCGCAATTATGCCGTTTTCTAAGTAAGTAAAGAAATATTACCACACGGAACTTTCATCATCAATCTTTCTTATTTACAGTGTAAAAATTAGAATTTAATAAATACATACAAAAAACAGCAGCAAGCGCACTAGCATGTAGCCTACACGTCACGATTCACTCAAAACTAAACTTGCCAAGAAGCACACCAGGAAGTTTGGCTACTAAGAATAATATGCTAATATGGAAACTAAATAAATCAAAATAGGCTATTAAGATATAAAGATAATATCGGAAGAATCATCAGTTGCAGCGTAAAAATGTTATGTTGACTGACAGCAATAAAACAATTTAAGGTACAAACAACAACAAACCATCTGCATATGTACTAACGTGTGTTCGAAAAACTTAATTTAGGATTATAAAAAAATTAATCACCGCACTTAAAACCAAATACGAAGATAAAGTTATAGACCCTAAACTTAAGACCTAATCTTAATAATGAATTAATAATGGTCTGTTTATATTCTCAGGCCTTTAATGTTGCCTAACTATGTTAAGAAAACAATACTTCAATTACCAATTGCCATATTTTATGTTTGCCACATCAATTGGGTTGTTTGCGTTTAATGACAAAAGTAAAACTCAAAATAATTTATACCGGTACTGTTATTAATTAACTTTTAACTAATGTAGGCCTAATAACGTTTTTAGAAGGTAAATCTAAATACATCTAATACACTTGAAACAGTTTGCACTATGTTGACCTATTGAGTTTGATGATAATTAAATTGTGCAATTAAAGTACTTAGATCACAGCTAATACCATATTTCATATACTGTATAAATTTATCGTCCTATAAGTAAATAGCAATTGGGTGTATTTTTATTCATTTTCCGTAAGTAAAACTCGTCAAATTCACACAAAAATTTATATAATCATAGGTTTTGCAATCCTGTTAATCCCGGGATAAATAGACGCCAATCCCGGGATTTATAGGTATATCAAAAACTGACCGGGATCCCGGGATTTTTTTTATTTTTTTTTTATTTATTGCCAACGGATTTCACCAATTTACAATAAGAATTACAATAATAGTGAGACACTCATCATGACTAAAGACTAAAACTAAGTAACAATGCGAAACTGATGAACAATACAATAGGGATAGCCTACATGCAAAATCTAAGACAGAAAAAAAACTACTATACCTAGGAGTAACAAGACATAAATAATACAAGACATACGGTAAATGAATAAATAGTGATTGAGACCCCTACTTGGGATATTGATTTTTGTTGTTATTTGGCCTCCATAAAACATAGAAAAAAAAATTAATCTGAGAGTTTTTTTACAGGGAAAAATTTTGATTAAAACTTTGATATACTGTTAAAGAACAACCTTTAGGATGTATAAGTTGAATATTTTATCAGAGTTACTTTGGCTCCTTGTAAAGAAGATGTGATGGTTGAAATTGTTTTCAAACAAGTACTTTTTGAGTTTTTTATTTTTTATTTTTCATTGTACTTTTTGTTGTTTTTGGGGGTATAGATGAACAGCCTTTATTCAGAGGGTGAACATGAACACTATGCGCCAACAACACTTAGTTGATGGTTTTCAATTTTTTTTTCTGTTTCAGGTCATTTTTGTTTGAAAAATAATTGAAGTATGTACAGTACTGTTATGACCTAAGAACTTATTTCAAAATGCCAAGAACTTACAAGCGTGCAAAGGTGCAAAGGTTGGTGCAAAGTTGATATAGAACTATTCACGTGAAACACTTCTGCAAGCAGTTCAAAAAATTTAAGAAAAACATATATCTTTAAACAGCTCCAGTAAAAAGTATGGTATTCCAAAAGGAACACAATGTTTGAATGTAAAAAAAAAACAGGATGTGTTAAAAAGGTGGACAAAAAGTGTTTAGTGACGCTGAAGAGCTAATTTTATGTAAAGTGTTGATAAAAACTTCTGAATGGGGGTTTCCCTTGACCTATGACGATTTAAGGTTTATAACTAAAGGTTATCTTCAGAGACAGGGTAGAGCAGCTCTACCAAAATTCAAAAACAACCTCCCTGGTCCTGATTGGGCAACTTCTTTTTTCAAGAGACATAAAGATAAGTTGACCATTCGAAAATGTATCAACATAACACCTAAAAAACTTCTCTTTAACTACGTATTTTAGATATTCAACTTGCCTAATCCCGATGACAGACTTCTAAAAGTTGTAGGTATATTTGAACAAAGATATCACCTAGTAATATTAATCCATTAAAAAATAATGGCATAATTACTCTTATTCAGGAGGTGAAAAGCTAAGGTATAAAAGTAAGTAAGATACCTATCAAAAATGTATAACTCATGTGGGGGTAGTGCTGCTGGTTGTAGCCAGGCTGAAAGTGATTTCAGCCAGTACGTTCTGCTTGCGCACCGAGTACATAAACAGTATATAGGGCCTAAGTTTAAGGGTGACGCGAACGGCACAGGTCGCTAGGCCTAGTATGCAAGAACATTGGTTTTTGTGTGATACAAACAGAACTTACAATAGGAATTTGATAGTTTCAATTAATATTAGCGTAGCCCAGTTAAGAAACTGTACCCCTTATTTTTGTAGTGCCTCTTCATTCCAGTTTACAATCTTATACGGTTGTAATCTGAAGAATAGGCCTAGCCTACCCTCACCCTTGTTTTCTATGAGTAGCTTCCCCACAGTTTATCAATTGATAAAATAGGCCCTTGAGTTAAAACAGCTACAAACATTTCGGAATAAGAGTAATCTGTATACAGTAGGGCCTTAGTGAGCTACTGGAGCAATCTGTGAGCTACCTAGGCTACTAATAATTCCTGTCAATTCACATTCAAAAGCTTTATTTACCATTCAATACAAAATGTACAATAGGCTTTGTCTCATACATTAAATAGGCCTAGGCTCAGGCCTATTTTCCAAGAAATGTCCTCTGCCTAATTTAGGCTAGTTAGACTATTATTATTAGGCCTTGTTAACTTATTACACTCATCATCAGATATAAGTTACCTATCAAAGAGCAAGCCTACCTTTGATTGAAGGGTCTCACTCTCACTGCAACCTTTACAGATGCCATTGTATATTTTTGTATCTTGGTGTAGAAATTTATTTGGATTTAGGTTAATATAAGTTAGTGGTCTATTTAATCCCAAAAGGGTCTTTAGGCCTATATTTAAATGGAAACATCAGTGCTGTGCTTAACAAGGGCCTAACTTATATCGAATATCTCAAACTGCATAGGAAGAATAATAAACACTGGTAAATTTTAACAAAACTTGTCTAGTATGTCATCACTGAATATGAATAGGATTGCAAACGACCATGTTTTTAACTGCAGTCCAGTCCATCACTAAAAATCACTTCACTACCATACCATTAATCAATCAATGCTCTCATTGACAAGACAATCACACAATTTGACGTTTCGTGTTGCGTTGTTTTGTTTTGCCATCCTTCTTTCCTTTTCCTTGCTTCCTTCTTCTTTCACTAGCAACAAACAGAAGGCAGGCTGAGTGGCACTGTCTGAGACCAGACAGACACAGAGGCACAAACTATGGATGGTCATGCATGGACCATTAGAGACTGAGACTGAGACCGAGGACCGAGACTGAAAAACAGAGAGAGGGACTGAGTTTTTGAGTTAAGGACTAGAGTGGGAAGTGAGAGGAGAGAATGAGGGCCATGTCAGTCATTGGCCTCTGGGTATAAACAGCGACGGCACAAACGTGGGGTCTCATAGCTTATAATGTCATAGCTTATAATCGTGAATTTGTTCCATAGCTTATAATGTTGAAAATGTGGCATAGCTTATAATCAGTTATAAGCTATGCCACACTTTCACGAAAAATTATAAGCTATGCCACAATTTCTCTAAAACGTTATAAGGTATGAAACATTTTCAGTGTCACAACTTATAATGGTCAAATAGTGGCACAGCTTATAATTCCGAATCTGTTCTATAGCTTATAATCCTGATTTTGAGTCATACCTTATAATTCTGATTTTGGGGCATAGCTTATAATTGAGGAGAATGTTGCATTGTGGGAATGGCATCAGCTGCTCGCTTCAGTCAGGTCTACCATATATACGATATTTTATGGTAGGATACGATAATTATTGTAATTGTAATTGACCGTCACCGTACTGACGACTGACAACGGCGATAATATGGTATTTTATAACCTAAACATTTATTTATTTAAATCGTCGGTCAATAGACATAGGGGCGTAACTTGAAAATCGGCGATTTTGAGATAAGACTACCACCCCACTAATTTTTATGCGCTCTATTCAATAGACCGACTGGTGCAACTGTATCTCAATCCGTTCAAAAGTTAGATGAGCATCGTAACTGACATTTTTCCTACATTCCAAGAGACATACAGACGGAACTGCACTTACGACCGTATGTCTCTTAACTTTAAATGTATTTAGCTACTAGGTGCAGAGTCATAAAGGCGTATCAACTTTTAATAATAATGTATTAAGCTTACTAGCTGTTGTACCCGTGCTTTGCAACGGGAAGAGGAAACAAAATAGAAACATTTTAATCTTTACATCTGTTGCATATAATAGTTACTCATCCGCCAACACTTTTAGAACCAAAATTCTACTTTTATGGCCTTAATAGAAACGTTTAAGTTATGACTTTTAAATCTGGTAAGAAGTAGTGGATACCGCCATTTTGGTTTTGATTAAATTTAAATCTTGTGTAGGCTGATATGAGAAAAACTGACCAAATCTTTCAAATAAAACTTTCACATACGATTTACCTTCATATCTCAAAATTACATATCTTTTTATTTATAATTGACATTTTAAATTTCAATTTTGAAGTTGCAAAAATAGGCTAAGAATTATTAAATTTAAATGGACATTTTTTTAAAATTTCACTCTTCTTTATATTAAATCACAAATCCTCCCATCTTTAGTTTCTTCACTGACAATAAATCATTATTAGAAAAACTAACTCAGCTGTTAGTTATAGAAAATATTATATTTAACTTCTTTGTATCAGCTGTCTGAAATTGTGAAATATGCAATTTTAGCAGTTCTTCTTGTTTTTGTTGTTACATTATTGAAACATTATTAGTGTTCTAATCGCAGCCATGGAGACCAATCAATATTTACTTTTAAAATCCTCACCTCAGAACTTTTAAAGGCAAAGGGGCAAAGCCTACGGTCAGTATCGAAATGTGAATAGTCCTATAATGGTCCTTAATATGGTAGCTATATTTTGTAAAATTTAAGCCCAGGTTCTAAGCCAAGCAGACTCTACAAGAAGAACGAGCCAAAATTAAAGAAGGAAAAATACAATGATTTGATGGGGCTCTGCAGTGGTCGGTCCAACACCTATTTTACAGGGCGAAGACAATGTACTGTTCTACAAAAACTTGCGTCATGAGTAACTTAAAGCAATGAAAAAACTGTTACTACGGTGATTAGCAGATGGTTAATTTGTTACTTTTAGTCTTTTAGTATTTTGTATTTTTTACTGTACTGATGTCTAATATTTTGTTTTCACAAGGCAAATTTGAATTTCTATCTGTAATGAATTTGTTGTAATGGTACTTAAATTATCATTTCGGCAAAATGTTAATTTTATATAGGCCTATTTTGTATTTTTGTATTAGGCTAGAGCTGATTTCTACATGAAATAATTTCAATTTCTGTCTGTAGGCCCTAATGAACTTTTTGTTGCCCTAATAGGCTAACTTGCCGGTACTTCAATTCTTATTTTGGTAAAATGTTAATTTAATGTAGGCCTAGGCCTATTTTGTATTTTTGTAGTAGGCTAAAGCTGATTTTCACATGGCATAATTTGAATTTCTGTCTGTAATGAATTTGTTTGTTAATAGACTACACTATTTTAGTTGTAGTTGGACTAGTCTCTAGACGTTGGTTTTCACGTGGCAAAATCATGTTTTTTATAGTTCTATACTTAATAAATTTAATTGGAACATGATAATTTTTTTCTTTCTTATTCATTAAATTTTAACCAATTTAGTGCATAATATGTAATAACAAGGTTAATTTTACAGATAAATGAGGACAGTTTCTAGCTTTAAAATTATTGAGTGTAACTGGTTATTTGAATTTTCTTGTTTGAGACATACAGGCGTATCTACTTTGACTTGATGTAATTACGAAATCAATAATGATAACAACATATTAACTAGTGCAAACTGATGCCCATACCCTTTGGTATCATCTGTGAAAATTTCATTGTCCTAGGTGGCTTATATCTATAATTACAACACCAAAAGAAAGTACATGTTCTGAAACCACCTAAAAAACTGTTCTCCTGAAAAGTTGCCATTTTGCAGTTACGCCCCTATGTCTATTGACCGACGAAATGTTATACACGATTTTTATACGAGAAATGGCAACAATTACATGCTGTATGACAATGAAAATGCAAGAAATATTTATAGTGAGAAGTTAAAAGATATGAAAATGAAGTGAAGTGAAGGATAACGGCATTGAAAATTAATGAATCTTGTCAATGGTCTGGCTGGTGTTGACAGAAGATAAAAGAGAGGAACAATGATTATTAATAAATTGTAAACATCAAAAAATTCCAAAACTATATTGTGGTGTTGAAATCCAGTAAGTTTTAATCCAATCCTGTTCCTAAGCCTTGTTATTCAAAGTAACAAAATGCAGTAGGCTATTATTTGCTTGAGTGTTATTAATTAGGTTAAGTTAGTAGGAACAGTTGCCTAGCCTACTTAAGCTTAAGTTAGCTGTGACTTAAGTTACAGATTTCCTGTGACAGGCATAAACAATTAACTTAATAAAAATATCAGTATATGTAGGCCTAACGGCTGCACTTAAGTTTACGTCCTACACACATTCGAATGAATATATCGAATGATTATCATTATATACGATATAGGCCTATATACGATATAAGTAGGCTATCAAGTTTGGTTATTAATGAAATAGCCTAATTGAAATATCGAATAATCTAACTGATATTTTTCATTAGAATGAGTGTAGGACGTAAACTAAAGTGCAGCCTATTCAACTAATGACTTAGGCCTACATTCATAAACAAGGTGTAGGTGTATTAACTTAAGATAGGAATTGTCTGTTTTTGAAGCAGCGTGCTTAGAAATATAGGCTAACTAACTTAGGTAAGTTACTGTTAAGACATAAGACATTTATTGATCTTTAGGCAAAATTACATGCAATCGATCTTGTCATGGATGCTTGAAATGCACAAGACAGTCATAAGTACAATAGTAAAACATGCTGACTAAAGCAAACATAAAAATAAGTGTTCATTCTACAAAATTAAATGAGAGTGGCTATTTTGGAAAAAAACTAAAAACATCATGCAAAATTGATGGAGCTGAAGTCTGCTTCAAAATATTCTTTAAGGCTGTTGAAGGGCCTTACTATCAACCATGCATATATCACATTCTTAAAACTACCTAAGCTAACATGCTGAGCTGAAAAAGGCAAGCAATTGAAAAGGTCAATACCTGTAGCTTCGAGGCCTAACTTAGTATGTAGCCTATATAAAAAATGGGTAGCCTAGGCCTATGGATGCTTGGATTTACTGATAGTAAGCATAGGCTATGTTCGAAATGGGTACACTTCCATATCTGTTGGCACAAACAACCGAATGAGTAATAATGATACCAAACGATATATCGAATAATCGATACCGTATATCGATCGATATTTTCATTCGGTTGTTTGTGCCAACAGATAACTTATGGAAGTGTAACCTTAGAAATGGTAAGCGTGATAATACTGAGCCAAAAGATTTAACTTGGGTAGGCCTATAGTTTCTTAACACGTTCGCGGCGGCACGTCAAATGGCGGACGTATCCCCAATGCGGCGCGGCCCTCAGCGTCGAACAAACCCGATTGCCACGTGTGATTGGTAAGCAGTGCTGTGTGAGGTTTCAAGTTTCTAGCTCTAATCCTGGCTTAAAAATAAATCATTTCGTACTGCATTGCAGCTTGGGAGCGATCGCACCCACCAGGATGGCATTAGGGTTCCGTATGGGAGCGATCGCTCCCATGCCGCCGCAAATGTGTTAACTGGGCTACGCTAACTTAAGTTATTTTTTATTGAACTATCAAATTAAAAATATTGATTAATAATTGATATTTTAAAATACCGTATAAAAATAATAATTAATTATAAAACCCTAAAAATACATTTTTAAATTTGTCCCATAAGAATAACATTAGAAGCTACCTTCTTCTACTTTTTATTTGTTTATGTTTTGCGACCAACAAAAAGCTTAATTTATATTTTACTCTATATAAATATATAGGCTATATTTATTATAAATCAAACTTGATAGCTTTATTTTATAGTATGGTACTAAGCTATTTTTTTTTTTTTTTTTTTTTTTTTGCATCTACGCCAGTGGCATTTTTCTAATGAAGTCAAACACTTTTAAGGGAAAGCGGTCCAAACCCATTAAAGTTTAGTTCTGTTTTTACTTTTAACAAGAAGTAGGCCTGAATGATGTACACTGCCTATTTTTGTTCCAGGTAAATTTTCTTGTAAAGCTTGGAGCATTGCAAATGT